AAATAAGATTGATCACTCACTTCATGGATGTTTGTGGCACATTGTGTACAATTGGGCTGCCAGTTCATCTACAAAATACACAGTCATTCCACTTCACAATCCAGTCCAGCGAGCCGGAATTTGCAGTTAAGTGTAATTACAATGCTAGTACTGACATTTACCAGCTTTTTCGGCGACGTTTTTTTTCAATGCTGGTACATTTCAGTACTGGCTTTGCAATTGTTTGAATCCAATGAGCAGAATTTAGTGATTAACCTACCTCCTTCTACTTGTGGGATTTAAACTGAGCCTAAAGTCGATATCCCTGACCACTGCAGGCCAGCAAGGACAGTGAGACGCAGGTGTGTGCGCACCAGGATAGTGAGCCAGTGGGAGTCACAGTGCGCACAGGTCACAGAATTTTAAAAAAATTCAATTTGGGGTCCAGTCCAGCTAGATACAAATCGCAAATACTGGTAAGATGGGGCTTTACTGTATGGCAGATAAGAAATATGAATTCATATACGTGTGATATACTGCAATGTCGTATTACAAGTTGTGAAGCCAACAATGGGGTAATAACAAAGCATAAATATTTATTCACATGTGAGTATCAGCACACATTATAAACTAAGTCATGCAACAAAGAATTCAAACAAAACAGTATTCCATGAGTGCATGCTAATGTATACAAGTAATACAGAGGTTAAGACATAATCATCATCAATGGGACTCAGGTAAGATCAAACTTACTTGGTGACTCAGAATGTTTCTTCCCAGGAAGTGAAATTTTTCCCATTGTAGAAATGGCCTACCAACCTGACCGCTCCCTCCACTCAGCGGGCTCCAGCCTGCTTCATGTTCCTTACCTTGCCTGCCCTACCATTGGTGAGTGGGTCTTCAGCCACTCTGCTTCCACCCTCTGGAACTGTATTCCGCAGTCCTTGCCCCTCGTCCCTCCCTTGCCTCCTTGAAGACCCTCCTCTTCGACCGTGCCTTCGGTCGCCCTCCTTCCCACATGTGCTCTCTGCTATACAAATGTAATTTTGATGTTATTGTTGTTGTTGTAACTATTCATAAAGTGGAGACTTGATTTTGATTCAGAGGGGATTAGAGATGAATGTAACAAAAATGTTGTTATACTTGGTGAAAGGGAACTCAAGCTGCTTTGTGGAAGAACTATAGACTCAGAATTGAAGAGAGCACTTTGTGCAAAGTATAATAGTAACTCTAGGAATTTCGTAACTCAGTGATCTAGCCTGAGACTCCAGTGTAATACTGAGTGAATGCTCCGTAGTCGGAGGTGATAGATGTTTGATGAATCAAATTTTAAAAATCAAAGTCCTACCTGTTCTAGTGGTTTAAGTAGAAATAAAAAAAATCGCAAGGGATTATTTTGTAGAAAATCAGGAATGTTCCTGGTGTCCTGGGCATTATTTGTCTCTCAATCAAATTTACCAAAAAATAAATTACGGGTGCAGTAATTAGTCATTTATCTTGTTTGTAGATGTTTGTGGGGCAGATAATAATAACAATCCTTGCATTTGATGTTGTACCTTAACATATGGTTGAAATATCTGAAAATGTTTTACGGGACTTACTATAAAGTGTATATATATATAGATTTCTAGCTAACCCAGCAACCAATTTGTACATAGCATTGTCCCACCTACAGTCATGGAAGTGAATAACCAATGTTATCCAATGGATTGTTGACTAGGCTACTTGGAGAAACTCTTCTCTTTTTGAATAGAAGCATTTTCAGACACTTCAACCATGTGTTATGGCGCATTAACAAATGCAAGAATTATTTACACCCCTCTTCTTTCTAGTCCTTATTACAAATGCCTTCTTATTTCATCACTACGCTTGACAGTAATTACTTGGCAAGTGCTTTAATGCATTTTGACATGATAAAAGCCCTATAAAAGTACAAGTTCTTCATTTCTTTTATTTAACTTTGCATTGTATCCACGTTCACCTTTAGCAGTCTCTAGGTTTCAAGATTCATAAGATCCATTTATTCAGCACCTCTAATGAAGTACAAATATTCACATTCACAGCTTTAAATCCTCTCCTATCCCAGTAAAGCTTGCATCCTGCTTTACAATTTCATTACTATGATTGCTATCCACAAAAAATCCCCAACATACATCCAATGACTCATTGGATCCTGATAGTTGTGTTACAACTGACTTATAGGACCTTCAGCATATTCTTGCCTTCAATCATCCATTTTTACCCTTCATGAACAGCAGTACCCCCAACTGCTCTACGCTTACATACTATCCAGAAACCTTCAATATAGCACAGCATCCTGTTTGATTTGATTATTGTAACCTCACACTATTTTGACATAGTGAACAATGAGTCAGCTAACACCTATAGATGCATTTCAGCTTCCCTCTTGGCAAGTTGTATCCCTTCAATGCAGTACCTATTTCCTATTCTTACTTCCTATACATAATACCTTGCATTCACCTGCATTAAAATTAATTTGCAGTTAGTAGCTTATGTGTGTACTCTACCAAACTTTCTTTGTAGTACCTTTGCGTCCTCCTCTGATTCCAGTTTCCCCCAATTTGATGGCACCTGCAAACTTAATTATCCTACACTTCGTCTGTGAATCCAGGTCATTAATATATACAAAGAACAGGAGGAGTGTCAATACAGATTACTGAGGCACCCGCTTAATATCTCGCTCCATTTAGACGTAGCTCCCATAACAATGACCTTCTGCTCTCAATCAACAGAAACTTTAGGCCAAGGCTGATACTCCAGCGTAGGAGAAAGGATTGCCAGTAGTTCGCCCAGTGTCTGAAGCGTTTCTTTCAAGAAATGTTTTGGCGAGTGTGAAGTAGCTGCCCCTGGTTACCAACTGCCTGGTGGACATCAAGTCCTGGAAGAGAACTAACTTCCCGAGTTGAACGTCAATAAGATCGACGGCTTCCTACTTGCCTCCTATCGGTGCCCCCATACCTCGGGTACTGACAGCATCACCCTCCATGGATGCACTCTACATCTCACGGAGCCAATACGGAACCTCGGAGTCCTGTTCGACCCTCCACTGTCCTTTATACCCCACATCCATGCCATGACCCGCTCCACCTTTCTCCACCTCCGCAACATCATCCGGTTCCGCCACTGTCTCAAACCGCAGGTTCTCGAAACCCTTATACACACAATCATAACATCCAGGCTCAAATACACAAACTCCTTGCTTATCGGGCTCCCCAGCTCCTCCCTCCATATGCTGCAGATCATCCAGAACTCTATAGCCCGTGTCCTCTCCTGCACCAAGCTCCGCAAACCTATCACGTCCATCCTCACCCAATTCCACTGGCTTCCCAGCACACAGAGGATAAATTCAAGATTCTAGTCCCCACTTTCAAATCCCTTCATGGCCTTGCTCCCCCTTACCTCTGCGACCTCCTAACCTGCTACCAACCTGCCCATTCCCTTCACGTTCCTCACCTGGCCCACCCCACCATTGGCAATCAGGCCTATAGCCATTCTGCTCCCACCTTCTGGAACTCCATCCCGCAGTCCCTCCGCCTCGTCCCCTCCCTTGTCTCAAGACCCTCCTCTTCGACCGTGCCTTCGGTCACCCTCCTTCCCTCCTTGCCCTCCACCCTCCCTGATCCCAGCCCCCAGCTTGGGTCCAAAACACTGATTATCCAGCGCCTCGGAACGTCCTCCCGACGTGAAAGACGCTATACAAATGTAATTTTTTTGTGTTGGTTTTATCAGTTATTTATCCATCACAGTGACATTTATTGAGGGGGTTCATGTTCATTATTATTATGCAGTCGCTCCCCACTCACGGGGACAAATTAATTCCCCATTGTTTTAAAGGAAGCGCAAGCATCAGTAAAAATTTACAGCTTTAACACGCTCCACAGAATGGATTGCATTTGCCTTCAGCAGCACCAATGCTATTCTTCTGTGCACTTAAGAAGCATTTAAAGAGCATTGCAGCATTCTCTCTTCACTTCCCCTCCCCCCCTTTGACAGTTCAATTTAGACTGGTACAATATACTGCTCTTTCCTTGCGTCTGCGGATATTTTCTATGCATTACTGCACATGTCAAAAAATGTTGACGTGTCTATAATTATAATCACTATATCATCACACTGGGAATTTCACTCCTCTGATATTCTCCACAAGACTACCAACCAACACGTACTTGTTGGGTTTTGAAAAGAGCTTTTATTCCAGATATTTGCCAAACATTTTGTCGCCAAACATGTCATTCAATGTCACGATTTGCATCAAAACACATCACTGCATCCTAAAGTGTCATCTCATCCCCTTTCTTGATTGATAATGGAATGAGATAAGATGACCATTGGGATAATATGGTAATGGTGTGTTATTGTGCCACAGCTTCTCTGAATAATAGGGGTCTTGGATATCATGTTCGCTAACTATAGTGAGCATTTCCCTTCACAAATTGATCCAGAGCAACTGCTTTATAAAGTTCCTTGCTCCTCTCCAGTTGAATATAGGTTCACTAGGTCTGCTGTGGACCTTTGCTAACTAGAAGTGTGGTACACCCTGAAGACACTGCCCAGGTGAAGGGCTCTATATCAATGCAAGTTGTTGCTGTTCTAATGCTGACCAGTCAGCTCTCTGTGCTAAAAAATAGTCTACTTCCAGATTATCAGGACACTGCTGACGTCATTTCCTGTGCATTACATGTATGAACGCTATGCACAGCGTTGTCAGCAGTACTTCTCATGCACAGCAGGTAAGTGCAGCCCAGAGAAAGTGAATGTTTTCACGCTCACTTATAACACAGAGGAACCTAGATGACCACATTATAATGGGGTTGCCCTGCAGTGGACACTGCATGACACATCCAAAAGATAGGGACCCATTAAAGTGTGCGTTCTTTGTGTATGTGGAGGTGGGGAGAATAAAAAAGTCCTCGCCTTTGTGTTGTCACTACAGGTACAAAGAGCAGATATTCATTCATTGTCACATATAATGATGGCCAGGTAATAGATGGTTGGTTAACATGCCAGGGAAAGCACAAACAGGTACGTTCTGTCTCTGAAGAAACATACAAACAATGAGACTTTCTGTACTGTTTTGGTTTGTTCTTACCTGTGTGCTTAAAGGAACATGTTGATCCAACATTCTGCCATTTATAACTTAGCTATTCTCTTTCTTCTTCCTCCTCCCACTAGACAAAAGCAGTAGCTTGACTGACAGATTCTTTGAAGTGCTTTTGCGCATTCAAATTCCACCACATTTTCCCCCTCTTCCTACATTTACAGCACAGAGAGACTTTAACAGGAGTGATGGTGGGTAATAGCAATGTGGTACCCACCTGGCTGAGCCACTGGAGTTTCCTTCCTGCTCTTCTCCAATTGTCTCTCCACCGCTCCTGAAGATCTTGATATCCTTATGCAGGATATACTGGATAAATATACTGCATATATCCTATACTTAATGTGTGAAATTGCAAATTCACAAGGTCAGTTTGGATGAAGAGGATCCTTAAGCCCATCTGATTTCAAAGTGAAAGAAATAAAGAGAACCCTGTTAAGCCTTTGCAAGTTTGGCATAACTCATACTTTGCATAAGTCATATAAAATGCATGGTCCCAGCTGATATGACTTATGTGAGGTTCAATGTACTCGTCTAAAAAAAGCAATAAAAATGCAACTTTAAAAAAAATTGACCTATTTAGTAGAGGTTTATGTGGAACCAAATTACTCTATGTTATAATGATTTCTTGTCGTTCCATATTATGCATGCGGTATTGTATCATTAACTTATATTATTTATGATATAATAACTGGATCAATTCTATTTTAGGAGTGGGATCAGAGTCCTGGAGGCTAGCCGATGGTGAAATCAAATTCTGGGAGCTGAATTCGACCTGGGAACAGAATGAGGAACTTAACAAGCAGTTAGAATCCTATCTTTCACTGCATTCCCGGGACAAGGCCAACATAGCTGAAAAATTCCTGTTTGTTCAACAAAACCGTAAGTGGAAACCAAGAGTCAGGAGCAGAGTTGGGAGGTGAGGCCTTTGCAGATGGGCATGGAAACGTGATGCTTCATTGAGCATCAATAGAGTATCAAAGTAGTTTCAGAAGATAAGGATCGCAAAGGAATAGAATACATTCAGAGGTGGAGGCCATTCAGCATGTTGGACCTGTGCTGAATGTCATCCACTAGAGCTAGCTAAACCATTCTCAATTTTGTGTTCTTCCCTCACAACTTTTTATATTGTTCCTCTTCAGATACTTGTCCAGCACTGAAGGCCCAAATGTTTTGACACCTCTGCTTTATGAGATTACATCCTAACTACTCACTTTTCAGACATAAAGACCTGTGTTTCAAACCAATTTTCTAGCCTCTGTGCAACTCCAAACACAGCAGAAACTCAGTGAAGCACTCGTCCAACTTCTTAGAGTTTATGTGCCTCCATTACGTGGCACCATGGGTTGCTGTTCCAGTTAAATTTTTCATTGCATTATTTCTATTTGATAATCTTACTGTGTTGTACTACAACACACAGTCACTCCACTTCACAGTAAATCCTGTGAAATTCTTTGGGAAGTCTACCTGACATGGGAGGCACTACACCAACTGCAAGGATAATTACTGGGAATTTCTCTGGCAAGTGTTTTTTTTCTTACATGGATTTTCTTCGTACAGTTTCTGCATCTGAGCTGAACGAGCAAAAGGTTCAAGTGACCTGTCCTCAGGGATACTTTCCATGTGGTAGGCACTCCATATGCTTGCCTCAATTTCTCCACTGCAATGGTGTGGACGACTGTGCAAACAATGCTGACGAGGATGACTGCGGTACGAATATAATTTTACATCTTTTCTGTTGAATACTTCAAGATATAGAAGGCATAGTTTTTGAAGACCAGGTTTAGATGCATTATAACATTTTTGAGTAATATCCTTCATTGAAGTAATTTAAATGTGATTGACCATAGAGGTTAAAGTGATGAAGTGAGAGATAAATTAATCTGTGTTAGTGCTGTCCTAATTTACAATCCATTGCTTCAACCGCAGCTTCCAGCATTGAGTCCTGCTGATCGGGACTCACCACCCTCTGTTTGAAGAAGTTCCTCCTAAATTCCCTGTTACTGCTGGCTATCTTACATTCACTCCATTTTAAATCAATTTAACTATCTGACCTGCAGATGCTGCTGCCAATCTTTCTGCAGAAATTATTAACATTTCAACAGACTGTATTAAAATACCAAAGGTTGGGTCAGTGAAGGATGAGACCAGAGTGTATCTGTCAGCTTTGCAACAAATCCTCAGTTAATGAGAACATAACAATATGTAGGACCAGAAAAGACAACTGCAGTCCAGAAGATAAATAAGTAATTTTATGTATTTCTTGTCTTCAATGTTTTAATAAGGTCTTCTCTTCACCAGTGTAAATATTCCCAGTTTCTGCAGCCTCTCATTATAATTCTGATGCAAATTGCAACTATTAATCGCTTTGCCCTGCGCTGTACCACCATATCTCCAAGACTTATACAGCCTTGAATACCACATCTCAGGTTTTTAAAATAAATGAAATGATCTCTCCCTCCCATTTGTGATTGAATCTTATATTAACACCCCATTATCGCCATAGTATTTCACCCACAAGGAAGACCACCTGTCGGCCTCTCAACTTTCAATGTGTGACATAAGTGAAACTGCGAGTCCAATTAGGGTCTTAAAGTATGTGTTTACGAAGTAGTTTTAAAAAACTGTAGAAAATTGGGGCTCGGATTTTATAACAAGTGAACATTTTTGATTGCAGAAGACTTCAGCGGCTGGTCTAAGTCTTTCGAAGCATATATTGTAAATACATGGACATCCGAATTTCAAACCACATTGAAACCATGTAGTAAGTCTCGCCTGTTAATGTATACTTATTTTGAATTGATTCGTGACCCATTACGTTAACAGCATTCAAGAATTAATGTAGCTTTGGACTATATTATTAGTAGCTTTGGAACATTAAAAATTCTAACCTCACTATACTCAGTATCACATTTCACAGGTCATCATGAGGGCTGTATTTTGATCATGTTAATTCTAGGGAAATCATAGATCCGTCAAGGGTAATATGTCAAAAGGCATAGAAATCTTGGTGAAAATCATGAAACCACATATCTAATGCTAGTTTCTTGTTCTTTCCTTTTATCCTTTCATTTGGGGATTTTTGGCCAGGACACTGGAGAAACTCCCTTCTCTTTTTGAATAGTGACATCGGATCTTTAACATCCACCTGATCGGTTCACCACAAGCACTGCACTAGAGTGCCATCTTAGACTACGTGCGTTCAAGTCCCAACATGGGGTTTGAACTCACAACCTTCCGACTCAGATGAGAGTGCTATCAAATGAGCCTGTAGTAGATTAATACAGAAAAATGCAATGTAATGAGATTTGGCAAAGAAGGGCTAGGAGTTCATGCCCAAAATTGAAGACCTGGATGTCATCGGAGCAAATAAGAAAGACAAAACGGGACTAGGAAATTAGGGAGAAATTTTTCAGTAAAACAAATAGCACATCTGGCGTAACATGAAGTACCAAAGATTTCAAAAAGGAAAGGAACAAGTTCCTGGAAATCAAAATGCTTAATAGCCTCCTCACCACATTGTGAATCCAACAAACCCACTCACACAGATTGAGTCAAACAACCTGTGATTCTGCTTTGTTGGATTCAGGGTTGTTAGGTGATGAGATAACGGGAAAAATCACAAATGCTTTTTTTTTCACATTCGTCAAGAAACATTAAAATTTCCCATTGGATTTGGAAGCACTATTCCTTTCCCATCCCCCAATGACTTCTGCACAATGGTTGGGCCCCAAGCCAGTCCAAACATTTCAGTGCTGCTATTTTTGTTGCCGAAACAGCTAGTGGTTGCCATTGTTGTTATCAACACCATTTCAGTGCCAATTCACGTGATACCAACCTAATTCAATCTGAACTGACAGTGCCTAAGAGTTAAGTCATCACAAAGGTTACCTGGGGGAGACACACTTCATGTCCTGAGGTACCTTTTATGATGCTGTTTTCCCAATATGTATTTTTTCAGCTCCAGTGCCTCAGATAACCATGCACCTCCTGGGCATATACCCTTCAAACTAATTTAGTCTCACCTCTCAGACAATAAACTGACCTCCCCAAGAAGAAGAATATTGGGTTCTTGTAGTCAACTTGAAAGAGTGAAGGTCTGTGTGGCAGCACCGCAATTCGAATGAATCTCAAGTACCACAAACGGATCTCAAATACAACTGGGATGCCGCAAAGCCTTTCCAGAACCACCAATTGCTCGTCCAGGCAGAAGAGGTCATTTGGGAGAACTGTCCCTCTTAAAATTTATCACATAAAACAAAATGGTGAAACTGGCACTGAGGTGAAGGTTAAGGAAGGATTTTAAATCAATGTTGAAGGGTATCCATAAATAATGACTCTTTGGCGAAATTACGGAGCTTATGTAGTTAATGAAAAAGGTCAGAGCTCCTTAAGACAAAATGCTGTTTCTGTTTTTGCTGTTTCTATGACTAACATCTTCTAGGACTTTCCTACGGTGTTGGTGGTGGTGGGGGGGGGGGGGTGGAAATAAGGGTGGGTAAGGTCCCCCTCTCCTTGGAGCTGAGCTGCCTCCAAGGTGACATGCGTGGCAAGGGAATATCGGGATTGAGCCAACCCTCTGGTCTTGATAGTCCGGTTCCAGAGATAGGCAGGTCTGCAGTACTCCAGGCAGTACACACAGAGTCTCCTTGGCTCCACATTGAAGTACTCGGCAACTGAATGTCGGAATCGAGGCCACCCTCTGTGATGGTTTCAGTAGCCCAGTTCTTGAGTGAGGCAGGTCAACAGCATTCCAGAGCACTGCTGTTGACAGTCCATCCAGACTGGTCCATCTGCAAAATAAATTGCTGTTATTCCTGCTGCTGCTGTTGGCATGCATTCTGAAGAGTTTGTAATAAATGTTGTGCTGTCATCCTGTGGGGCCCAAATGGTTTAACAGCAGCTTTCATCTTATTATTTACACTCAACCTTCTTGACTGTAATGTGGCCTGTACTGTGTGTGCAACTCACTTCATTTCTTATGACAGCATAAGAACAGCAGTATTGATAGTGTTACGGAGGAAATGCACTCACAGCCTGACTATTGCCATAATAACTCTTTCTAGGCAGCTGCAGAGACATTGCACATTTGATCATTGCATTTTGATTGTTGTTAGAGAAGGACACCATTATAACGGCCCCCTAGTGATGGGGGTGGGGTTGGGGTGGGACGGGAGACACACAGTAAGCCTACGTAGAGGGGAGGAGCAGAGGAATGGGGCAGGAGAAGATCGGAAAGATAGGAAGGTGCTAAGGCCTGAAGAGAGTTATAGGTGAAGAATGTAAGAACAACAACAAATTACATTTGCATAATGCCTTTAATTTGTCGCAAAGGAATGGATGGTTAAGGATGTAAAAACGATTCTGGTTTAATTAACTTATATCATCTTCCATTAAGTTTTTTAATTACTGTTTTATGATGATTTTTCACTAATTGAGTGCTGAGAACAAATCTGCAACTACCATTAGAACCCACAATGTGTCTGCATTGCAGAAATTCCAATCTTACTCCTACCAATGATTTGTGTCTTTAATTTGGCAACAGGAGACTTCTAGTCACCAATACTGGGAAAGTATATCATTCCCCAGCACTAATCGACCTCAATACACAACATATCAGCAACAAATATAAAGTTAAATGTTTTTCTTGAAAAAAACTATTTAAGATTGAAAATGGGAAAGACACAGTAATAAAGTGGCCTAATGTTAGAGGACTAGGCTTGAGGGTGTTTTGTACTACAAAAAGTTATTTTCTGGAGGTGGAGAGTGCGCATTTTACCGCACTTCAGGAAATCAGCAGGATAAATGTTAAACAAATAAAATGACTTTTAAAAGCAACACGTAAAATGTATCTCTACTTAGATATATATCTTAAGTAAAATGTATCATTTACAGATATTTCTTTGAATGGGCATTAAACCAAGTTCTCACTTTCTACAAACGTATTTGCAATACAAAAGCCTAGACTGTGAGTTCCAAATCCCGATGTGGGACTTAAACCCACAACCTTCTGACTTAGAGGAGAGAGTGCTATCAACTGAGTTAGGCTGAGACCTCTTCCGTAACACCTAATACAGCAGCTGCTATCCATTTGGAAAGCTTGAAATTTCCAACATTTGGCCCACAAAATATACAGTCAAATTCACTTAACATTATACACTGTGAAGCGCTTGGAGATGTCTTGAAGACGTGATAAGGAGCTATATCAAAATGCAAGGATTATTATTATTATTTTCGTTTTACATTTACACGTGAGTATGTGTCGTCAGATAAATGATACAATCATGTCACACGCATAAGCAAAACCATTCAAAGTTGTCTTTTCAATCGCCCAATACTGAAATAACAGGCCAGAACCTGGGAGACTTGCCTGATTATCAATATCGACTTAACTTCCTCCATTTTCTCCCATTTACACTACATTACACGTTAGTTCTCTGCAGTGTCAAACTTACATCAGCAGGTAAAATTAAAATGTAAAAGTGGTATAAAAGTATATTTGTTTTGTGAACCCAATTCCGATGAATAATATGTTGCAACATTTCTTTTTGTGTAGATCTTGAGTACACGTCAAGGAATGCATGTAGATGCAGTAGCACAGAGCTCAACTGTGATGATGGTAATCTGGATACACTCCCTTTTGTGTCAACCAATTTGATACTTCTGTAAGTATAGCAGCATTTGCAATTCTTGTCTTGAAGGCATTTTTGTTTCATTCATTGCTTCTTCACTCATCTGTGTCTCAACCAGGTCTTTCAAGGACAATAAGCTAACAAAACTTTATCCTGATGGTTTCAGCAGATACCAAAGCCTCAGTGAGCTGTAAGTATACACATTGTTTAACACACTTGCGTAAAATATGTGGAAATAATGATCCTATTTAACATAACACCTTAAACTTTGAAATATCTGTGGTGGTATCAGTACTTAGGTTCCTGAGCCACATAAGTCTGCAGTACTCTAAGGCTCCACTGAAAACTAACTAAACAGCCTGTTTTGTCAGCTTAGAGGATAGGCCCCCATTGAAGATAGAAATTCTTCCCACTCGCCTACTGAAAACCATGAAAGACATAGGAGACAGAATGGTTCCAGCTGGACAAGCAATGGGAAGTTTTCCAGGAAATGCTCTCATTAGGAAGCGCATTTCACCCACAAAATATACAGTCAATTCACTCTACAGTATATTCTGTGAAGCGCTTTGAGACGTCTCGAAGACATGATAAGGCACTATATCAAATGCAAGGATTATTATTATATATATTATATATACATATTATTAAACTCCAGCAGTATCCCGATACAGACTCTGGCATCTCCAAACCTTGACTCTCACCAACTTGTGTCAAACACTCACCAGAAATATCTTTAATTTTGCTTTCCCGGTGTTGATTTGGCAAGGAGAGTCAAAATCCCTGCTATTTATTTGGAAAATGTATTTAGAGCCAGTCTTAGCTTGTAGCTTCGTGAAATGACTGAAATCACACCAGCTCCTTTTCCAGTTAACAAATAGGCTTTTAATTCCAGATGTTATACAAATCTTATAAATTTATATTTGTCCATACACAGAATTTAAAATCAGTGAGTAAAAGATTAAGCAAAATAGAAAAAAGGAAGGATTTACCGACAATCTGTTTTGCTTAGCAAAAAGGGTACTCTTTTTCACAGTACAGAAACAATCAGGTAGGTCTCTGTCTCAGTCTCTCTTTCTCTCGACTTTGTTCTGATCTTCAGACATGCCGTTGTCCCCAAAAGCCTCTCCAAATAAACAGTTTCTGTGGTCGGCTTACACTCAGCAAAAAAGCCTTTGAATTTAACAAGTCATTGTTTTCAACTTCAGAGAAGCTTCTAAGGACACATTCAGTTATTCAGTTTAAGAATAATCCTCATAAGGGATATGAGGCAAAGGCGGGTATTTGGAGTTGAGGTACATATCAGCCATGATCTAATAGAATGGCAGAACAGGCTCAAGGGGCTGAATTGCCTACTCCTGTTTCTTATGTTCATGCGAACAAACTTGCCCATTATCGTCAAGGCAATGACTGTGAAACATCTTAATCGGAACACGAAATCATAGTAACTAATAATAACAATCCTTACATTTATTATAATGCCTTTCATGTCTGGAGGATGTCCCAAAGAGATTCACAGGATATATGGCCAAGTGGAAGGACTGTGTATTCTGTAGGGGAAAATTTAAACCTAAGCATGAATATCTTGGAAAGCAATACCCTCCCGGTGTAGGACTCTGCTGCAGGCTGGGGGGAGGGTGGGGGGGATCACACACAATTTCTGTGTGTGTTTTCACACACAAACTACTGACACGTAAGGCTTATTATTGTTTTAAATTTGAAGACAAAATGGTCTTCACAGGCTAAGACTAAATAGCCTCTTGTTTTGTGCCACTTTTAGGCAGCTGAAGCCATTGCAATTTCACATCTTTAGATTTTAAATATTGAATTAATATTATGTATTTTTGTTTCAGGTACTTACAAAACAATCAGATAACAACAATTTCTGGGCGGGCGTTTAAGGGATTGTACAATCTTACCAAACTGTGAGTATTTGCTTATTGCTGGAACATTCTTTGATCTGAAGGATAACTCAATGTTTTTTGATCCATAAAAATCAATCTGCTTCACAATTGTGTTCTGTCTTTCACTTTTCCTATTTTCTTCCTGAATATTATAACAATAATTATTAATAATAATAATCCTTGCATTTGATATGTATTTCATATCGGGTTGCATCTCAAAGAGCTTCAGAGGATTAGATGTAGAGAAAGGAGACTATTATTTTATTCTTATGTGCATTTGGGTAAATATTCTGTGTTTTTTCTTGATTACATTTGGGAAATATCTATGCAAAACTTTCTTCCAGCAGATAGAGTGGGTGGGACAGTGTAAGAGCGAGTAGGTTTTTGTGAAAGGAATGTGAAATTGATGGGCTGAATAAATGTTTCTTGCTTCTTGGAATCTTGTGTTCTCAAAGAGCAAGGCTCTTGAAAAGAGATGCCTCAAAGGAGATAATGAAACCTCTATATGATACAAAACAGGATTAAAAAGTAAACGAAGCATACTTTCAGATTATTACCCCCAAAGTGCAAAGCAAGGGGGTAGAATTTTACTGATGTGAAAGACAATTTAATAAAAATAATAATAATAATCCTTGCATTTGATATAGTGCCTTATCATGTCTTTGAGACATCTCAAAGTGATTCACAAAATACACTCTAAAGTAAATTGACTGTACATTTTGTGGGCGAAACCAGCAGCCAATTGCTCACAGCAGTGTCCCACAAACAATCATAGAAAAAGATCACATTACATAATCCAGTCAATATATTTTGAGTGCTGTTGCGATGCAGAGAAATGTAATGTAAATGATGTTTCAGACAAATAAATTGGTTTTCTTTCATTTACTTTCCACTTCATTGGGAGAGATGTACCATCTTTGATAATTGGATTTCACTTCTGGTCCCAGCCATAGATTTCACTTGACCTGTGAGATATTTCTGCTAAAAGTATCTTGCAGATATTTCATTTTCAGATCACTATAAAAATCCATTGCATTGCTGTGAGCCTCACTCACGGTGCAAATCAAAAAGAGTGAAGAAAAAGACTAAATAGGCAAGATTATATGTTTGTTTAACATGTATTTTTAAGCAGAAAGTATTTGACATTGACAGTATTTTGTCGTCAAATTTATCAACGCATGAAAGCAGAATTATTCTCCTCTTCCGAAAGCATTTATCAAACTATAGCTGACTATGCTTAGAATGTGATTTTCCCATTATAATTGCCCACCATCAGAGATCTGTATGTAAATTTACCAACAAGTGCGGAACAGCCAACCAGAGTTTATAAGAGTAGCAAATGTGAGTGAGTTATTGAGCCAAGTAAAGCAAACTATTACTATATGTCAATGTTTCAATACCTTCCTCGTTTATCGTGCTTTGGGCCATTTCCCCTCTCCCACTCCCCCAACCTATCGATACCCACCCCCAACTCAGGCACAAAGCTTAGACTGTCCAGTGCCTTGGGATATCTTCCCGACGTGAAAGGCACAGTATAAATGTTAATTTTTATTGTATTGTAACTCTTACCTCTCTTCATATAAAATAAAATAATAATAATTTCTAATAGTTAGCACCTATAAGACCTTTTATGTTGGGAAGATGTCTCAAAGCGCACCATGAATTGTAATGTAAAATGTGGTGACTGTGTGTTTGGTTGGTGAATGCTTATTTTGTAGGTGAATGCAGCAGCCAAACTGTGCAGAGCAATGTTTTGCATTTTAAAATAATTAAATATTTTTGATTTGTGTACCAACACTAATGCTGGTGGGTGGTTGCCACAGGATCTGGTTCGCTTACACCATCTCTTGCTTTGTTCCTGTTATGTAAGGGCGCTGAGAGCTTGTAAAGCCAAGTTAGTCGTATTGTTCTTTTGCCAATTGCGCACATGATATTCCTCACATGATAGAGACAGTTAGTGTTAATTCCACTTGCTTGTGTAATGCAATTTCAATTCTCGCAAAAGAGAACTGTTTGGACTAGGAAAACAGCGGGAACAGATGTCTAAAGAATAATTAAAGATTATCATCATAAGTCACATTGGGCTAAGCTTCAATGCATGCCATTAAATAGCTTTATTAGCAGAGTCTACAGCATACAAAACATGTGCCAAATTTCTGTCTTATTAACAGTGGTATTTTTATGATGTGCTCCTATAGGGAAGGGAATGGCTGCCGCATTTCACCCAAAAAATACAGAGTAAATCCACTTTACAATATATTTTGAGAAGCTCTTCGAAACGTCTCAATGACGTATAAATCTACCAAATGCAAGGATTATTATTATTATCAATAGAGAAGAATTTGAATGAGGTTTGCATTCTCAGACCTAATGATCCAGGTGTTTCAAATATTATAAGGCACAGAATCATGTAAACATACTCAAACTATCTGGCATGGATTTTTTGAGTGCAGCATGGGAGGACACAAGTTTAATAATAATATTGACCTTTGGTGCAGCCCCTTTCAAGTCAGGAGGACATCTCAAAGCAATTCACAGGATATGCTACATTATATTATTATACTATATTTTGTAGGCAAATACAGCATCCAAAACACTGCCTAGAAATGAATGACCTTTTTAGCTGGAGAATTGTTTCCCAGGACATCACAAGAAACTCCCTTCTCTTTTTATATTTTGCTATGGGTTCTATAATGTCCACCTGACCAGACAGACAGGACTTTGGTTTAATTTCTTATGAGAAGGTTGCACCCACAGCAAGCATTGCAGAGTCAGCCAGGATTATGAAAGTTTAGAGTTTTGACGTGGGGTTTGAGTCCACAAACCTCTGACTCACAGGCGAGAGTGCGACCAACTGAGTCCAGCTGACACTAGCTCAGAGGACTATGTGATTTCTTCAGGCCAGCATCAACAGCGAAGATGTGGGAATGAATAAACATTCCAAAGTTTTTTCATTCAGTTTGAAAGTAATGCTGTGGAGGAAAAATAGAAAATGATTTCCCACAGAAAAAGAAATATGTAAAGTAGATTCCTAGGAAAAAAAACAGTGATACAAGAACAATTCAGGACTTCAAAAGAGGACCTTGATAACTACCCTTCTAGGAGCTGTAATGCTAAGAATTGGTAGAAGTGGACATAAACAGATTTCCAGAAGAGGTGATGGAGCTGGGATGGGAGGATGATGTGGTGTCGTCATGGCAGTGTGCCAGCATCAACAGTGGAGGTGTGGAATACGTATATATTCCAAAGTTCCTGCTTGATATAATTTTGGAATCAGAGACTTTCATTCAGATTTGCCTACCTCGGACTGAATGTTCACTTTAGCAGCCAGGAACCCTCTTAAGTGGGATATACGATTTTAAATGGGAATGAGAAAGTAAATCCAGAACAATTTTTTCCGACTTGCCAGGGCAACAGGACAAGAAGCAAAGGTAATGGTTTGTGCAGGGCAAAATTAGGACAGACACCATGAAATATTTTCTTACACACAGGGTAATATCCAGCTTGGACGGGTTACCAGAAAGAATAGCTGAGGCATGATGCTGGACTCATTTAAGATGCAGTTTGATGCTGTTATGGGAAGATGTCAGGGTGGATGTTCTGGTTAGATGAGATCAAGTAGACTGAAGGGGCTTGTTCATCCAAATCTCTCTTGTGATTTTGTGAAGCAATTTGGTAGAAGTTAATATATATTTAAATACTCCATGGAATCACTAATTGATTCATTATTAAGTTTGATCAAATTATCAAACTTGATCAAATATGAAGAACAGTACGCAAGGTCTTCCATATCCCCAAAATGCTTCCAATTCTTCAATCGAATTTCAAATTTTCACAGCTTTTTGCTAATAGAGTCTATCCACACATGTTCAGTGCATTATTATCTGCATTATAGGTCTGAGAATGGAAGTTGTGCTTATAATAATCACTGGGTAACGTAAGGTCAGCTATTAAAAAGTGAATCCCCTGAAAGTTCCTTCATATAATTTAACCAAACTACTGCAAATTAAATGTCAGTCCTGAATACCAGTTAATTTGGCCTAATGAGTTTAGTCATCAAAGCACTTCTGACAGACCTGAAATTTCTCATGTTCTTAAGCTTAAGATTATTGTCTTAAAATGTTAAGACCATGCAGATGTTTGCAAAATAGTCCTAAAATCAGTCAGATTTTGGAAGCCAAGTTTTTACAGTACGCAAAAGGGAACTGGAGGAAATCATCTTCTAAATTGGCTGAATTTAAGACTGTTTTCAAACAATCGTAAATATTTTGAAAATGATCTCAAGCCTAAGGAGACCAAAAAAAGTGTTTTAAAACAACAAGGAATGTCAAGAATTCAAACTACAACAACAATAACAGGATTACATTTGTATAGTGCCTTTCATGTCGGGAGGACATCCCAAGGAGCTGACACTAGTGAAACTAGTACTCAATAGGCTCCAATGTGTAGTATTCCTTAGAGGGGTAATAAGGAATCTGAGTCATTCAAATGGGGAATCCTGATACCCATATGCATGTTCTCCATCTATGTCCGGCCAAAGAAAATTCTAACCGGAATTAATAAATAAAAAATCCATTAAGAAATACTGGACCGCAAATTAAACCCCAATCTTCCCATTGCTACTCATTCTTTTATTTTGATTGAGCCTGTTGAGCCTGTTCCAGTTTATTAGATCTTGGCAGATCTTTTAATCCCAATGCCGTGCTATTCCTCCATTCATCTTAACACCTCTATTTCTCTTTTAAACATACTTGCCCTTTCCCTCTTTGTTGGAAGCAATCATTGAATTGAAGGTAGACAAGGCTGAAAGCAAGTTATAACCTTCATGATTAGAGGAAAGAAGTCAGGCTGACACCTGTGGTAAAGAAATCCTTCCTGATGTCTGTCCCGAAATTAGTCCTTCACAACAATAACAACAAAATTACATTTCTATCGCGCCTTTCAAGTCGAGAGGACGTCTCAAGGTACTGGACAATCTGCGTTTCAGACCCGAGCTGGGGGATTGGGATTGGGGATGGTGGAGGGCAGAGGGGAAGGAGGGTGATCAAAAGTACGGTCGAAGAAGAGGGTCTTGAGATGGGTCTTCAAGGAGGCAAGGGAGGGGGTAAGGCAGAGGGATGCAGGATGGAGTTCCAGGTGGGGGCAGAGTGACAGAAGGTCCACCTACCAATGGTGGGGCGGGTGAGGTGGGGGACGTGAAGCAGGCCGGAGATCTCTGAGCGGAGGGAGCAGGCAGGGTGATAGGGGGTTAGGAGGTCCCAGAAGTAGGGGGCATCGAGGCCATGGAGGGCTTTGAAGGTAAGGACCAGGATCTTGAACTGTATCCTCTGTGTGATGGGAAGCCAGTGGAGTCAGACAAGGATGGGGTGTTAGGGTCACGGAGCCTGGTGCGGGAGAGGATACGGGCTGCAGAGTTCTGGATTATCTGCAGGCTATGAAGGGAGGAGTTGGGAGGCCAACAAGCAATGAGTTTCCATAATCAAGCCTGAATGTTATGAATGCGGCCTGTGGTGTGAGACAGTGGTGGAGCCGAGCGGTGTTGTGGAGGTGGGGAAAAGCAGAGCGGTCATGGCACGGATGTGGGGTAGAAAGAATAGTTGAGGGTCAAACAAGTCCACCTCGACTCTTTGACTAATGTTGGATACTGACTAATGTTGGATTGAAAAAATTGACTAATTCATCACTGGTGATATTATCATGCCATTGAAAATTCTACCTCTTTAGATGGCTAAGGTTGAACTAAGGTGGAGCATCCCCTTCCCCTGACTTTGTGACAATGATTGGGTTCCATGCCAACTGGCTTACAGCCACCATTGAATGTACCACCCCACGACTGGGCTGTTTTAATGCCACGGCTTTAAAATTCAACTGGAGAAGGGAAAAAGGCAAGTCAAAAGCAGTCGTAAACCTTAGCTCCATCACCATGCTATAGCACGTAAGGCCATAAAAGCAGCCCAGTGATGTAAGAATAAAATATGCTGAGGACGTCAGTCTGCAAACAGCAATTCTTAACCCCACTGTCTACTTCTAAACATCCCAAGGTGCTTCCCTGAGTGAAGGGTGCTATATTAATGCAAGTTGTTGTTGTTGGTAGGACAGGGAAGTAGGATTGAATAGCCATGCAGACCTCGCAATGGGCTGCATGCCTCCTTATGTGCTGTTAATTCCTATGATTCTACCTTCCTGAGATAGTCCCAATATATATCAGTGAGCACAAAACAGTCACCATTAACCAAAAAGAGACTTCAGCCGCCACAATTTCCTAAACCTGCTTTCCTTTGTGATTACTGATTATTTAAATGCACATGTAGCCATGTGTTTTTAATTTTGCTCTTTTTTTTCATTTGTTTTTCCAAATGATTACTGTGGTAAAATATGATTTGCATCTAATTTGTTTCATCCGTGGGGACTTGCCTCAGGGCCTGCAGATTCTGCACGCAGCCACGTAACATGAAAAATCCAGTTAGGTTCCCTTTGACGTTGCTAGCAAGCGATATTTGTGACCTAGGGGATTAGGGCTTCAGATTAAGGTGTATCTGGTTCCGAACGCTGAACTGAAGCTAGATGCTCGTATTTCTTTCTAAAATATTTCTTTCTAAAATTCAATACCAAACATTTTTTATAAGGCTAAATACCAAGTTTGTTATATCTATTGGATTGCTTTAGTTATTTACAAAGAGAATAATTTTAATAATGAGGCTAGCCACACAAATACATTTATTAACGTTGTTACTAACATTTCCGAGGAATCCAATTGCAAAAGTATCCAAAATTACATTTCGCCCACAAAATACACAGTCAATTCCCTTTACTACTACTAGTATCCTGTGAAGCTCTTTGAGACGTCTCAGCAACGTGATAAGGCGCTATATCAAATGGAAGGACTGTTGTAGGTATTAGTTTGTGTTAGTTTGAGCTGACTATCCACTCTGCAAGGCATGATAACCTGGGAATTTCAAAAGAAATTTATTGCATGAAGTTATTGGATTTTTTTTCAGTTTATGTTTGAAAGTTCCAGAATTCATTATGATTGCTGCAAAATGACCATACAATTGACATAAGAGGCAGAAAAGCATTTTATAGTATTTATTCCCTGTTTTAGAGTGAGCTTTTGAACTTCAGAGTGTGGGAGGGATTCTGAAGGAAAACTTCTAGTGCAGTGAAGTGGGTCAGAATACCATATCGGTCCACTTAAACAAAGTTGTTTTTCAACTAGCTTTGTTAATCACATGCTGCTTGTGCTCATAATATATCACCAGGGATCAGTACCTAATGCGTTTAATCTGAAATGCTTCTAGAAATTTAAATTTAAAAAAATTGGGATTGATAAATGGGATGTTTTCATGAGAGATTCAATAATTGATGAATCTGTTAACAAATCTGTCAGGGAGTCACATTTGAAAGCCAGGCATCAAATTCTGAATTTAAGAATTTTCCCAAATTTCACAATCTTAAATTTTAAGACAATCTTAAAGCTAAAACCATGCTGAATTTCAGGCCTCAAGTGTGATCATGGCAATACACAATTATAAACCACTTTTCTTGACTTATCCATATATCCCAACATTTTATTCACTTTCCTTCTTTGCTGATTATTTCATAGAAGTATGTATTCAAATAGATGTGCATTCATTTGGTGAAGTGATGATAACACATTAAATACAGCTGCAAGTGTGGTTTTCATGTATTATCCACACCCTTCCCAAAAAGGTCTACACATTATATATGTAGGAAAAAAACATCACAAAATAGGGGGTAACAATTGTGAAATTTGTGACAATAAATGCATCTTTAAAAAGTTTTCTTTCTTTTCAGGTATTTGACTGACAATAACATAACCATGTTGCCTCCAAGAGTGTTTGAAGATCTTCATAGCGTTAAATGGCTGTAAGTGAATCAATTATTTTCATTTATTTTACTGCCTCTTTAATATACGACAAACTCATACCATTTTACGTTTTACTTTGCGCTATCTACTTAGTAGCTGACCGTAGAGATAAGTGATGTAATAAATACTGTATGCCTTTCAAATGGCAATGTTCAATATGCTGATTTTTATTTAGAATTGTATTTTTGTTGGAAAACCTATTGATTTTTTTTACTTATTTTCTCAGCAGTGTGTGCTTGTAGTAGACACTCTTTAAGTGCATACCAGTAAGGTTGCTCCTGTTATTGTACTGCTCCATAGAATTTCACTTAGAACCCAATCTGTCAAACCTTGTTGCTTGGTGCTGTCATTCCCAGATGTGGTATGAAACTTGTCAGTGTGTCAAAAATATTCTATTTTCCTCCGTAAATTTTCTCCCTGAAATTTTCCTTTTTTGAAGGTGTTTTGAATCCCTTTTTCTAATACAAAGGGTTCCACAAGCGCATACCACCGATACCTCCCCACAAGTAGCTATTGCAGTAAAGTTCCATTATGACACTGTGGTTAATGTTCATATATTCCTAACCAGCAGTATAATGGAGTGTGATTGCCAGTCAGTGCTTCCCCATTAGTAATTAATGCTAAGAGTATTACCCCAATCGTGCTGTTGGCCAGGATCCTCCAACCTTTTGAATGATGCCCTATTTGAGAAACTTCCCTTCCAATTTTAATACCAGAAACATAACGTACCATTTACAGGTTACAGAGGGAGTGGGTTAGCCAGATTCAATGAAGGGGGGTGGGGGAGCATGACATCAGCATCTCGGAGCAGTTAACAGTCGCAGAGCCTGATGCCGGGAGGAGAGACGGAAGAGGTCCAAGAGGAATGTCTTGAGTCATGATCTGAAGGAAGGGGAAAGGCAGAGGGATTGGGTGAGAGAGTTCTAGAGTTCCGGGGAGTAGCAGCCCAAAGGACGCTGCCAATGGAGGAACAGTGGGGATGAACGACAAGCAGGATGCCAGATTTTGAATGAGAGTTTCAGAGAAGGGGGGCAAAGGCGTAGAGATTTTGGGAGAGTTTCAGAGAAGAAGGGCAAAGTGGCTGAAAGGTTCCCACCAATGGTGGGTGTGAATAGTCAGGGGGATGTGACAAGAATCTTAACCCAACACAAAACTCTAGTGGACCACCATTGGGAAATCTCGCCCACCCAGTTGTGAATAAATAAGAAAAAGCTGGGTCCTGCTCGGGTGTGCTGGCTCAGCTACAGTTGGCTGCTCTCATCCGACATTTACAGGATTTACCTGAGGTCACAGTAACATGGAGTTGTGCAACCAAGTTGAACAGAAGGAAACTGAAATCAACATCAGATGTGAGTTAGGAAAATGTTTCCAGTGAATGAGACAGCACGGGCTACAAAAGTAAAGAATTAAGTGTATGCATCTGTGTGCACTAATGATCGTAATGCTGGCTAAATATTGATACAGTGGGCTGTTGTCTTCACATGTAATTTCATTGGAGAGCTTTGTATGGCTAGTTCTTGATAAATGTATATCTAGCTTGCCAGTAATTTAGCCTGTGCATGCAAAAACAGCCATAAATCGTTTCTAATGTTGTTCAAGTGCCATTGAACTTGGGAGACAAAAGAGGGAACACAGAGAAGACATAATGCACCCCACTTAAGCAAAGTTAATGGCTCACTCCCATTTGGAATGCCAAAGTACAGCTATATACTAGGTTAAATGCTAAGTCCTATGTACAATAAACAGGTTGTAAACAGTCACATGGAACTTGTAACCCATGCATTGCATTCTGACAGTCCAATTCAATGCTGAGATGTACTGCATGTTTAGAAGTGCCGTCCTTTGGATGAGTTGTTAAACCAAGGTCACCATCTGCCTGCCCAGGTGGACTTCAAAGATTCCACTATTTGAAAAGAGAAGTGAGTTTCTCCCAGTGTCCTGACCAACAATCCTCCCCAAAATAAAAAATTGTTCACTCAACTCCATGGCTGTGTGACATCTAGCTGTGCACAAATTGGCTGCCAAATTCACCCACAAAATGTACACAGTCACACCACTATCTTGTGAAACGCTTTGAGATGTCTCGTTAACATGTTAAAGCGTTATATCAAATGCTACTCTTTTCCCCAATCACATTCCCAAATTCCTGAAACAAAAACAGAGAAAGCTGGGAAAACTCAGCAGGTCAGGCAGCATCTACGGAGAAAGGAAAGTGAGTCAACGTTTCTGGTCCACGACCACGTTCTGACGAAGGGTCGTGGACCCGAAACGTTGACTCACTTTCCTTTCTCCGTAGATGCTGCCTGACCTGTTGAGTTTTCCCTGCTCTCTCTGTTTTTGTTTCAGATTCCAGCATCTGCAGTATTTTGTGTTTTTTTCCGAAATTCCTGATTGTGTACACTCATTAAACCCAACATTATTTCCAATGGAACTCACACATAAAAGAGTTCTTCATCTGATGTCCCATCATTTATTCAAATGTAACATTTGTTTATAATTCATTTTTTCAGGCTGATCGAGGACAATAAAATCCACAAGATTGCCATCCACTCCTTCATTGGGCTAGAATCGGTCATGCTCCTGTAAGTTTCTACATTGTGCAACAGCAAGTTCAATATTTAACTTAAAGCTTTCATTCTTACTGATGTAAACAGACATTGATGTTTTCTTCTTTGTAGGTCACTGAACAACAACTCTATCTCTGAGATGCCAGAAGAAACCATTTGCAAAGAGATGCCAAAGTTAATGTACCTGTAAGAATTTCAATATGAATTTTAAACTGCAGTATAACTAAGCATTGATGATTTACTGAATAAAATATGTTCATTGTCTCAAGGTCGCAAAATCACAAAACCACAGTAATATGTCTGTTTCACACAGAAAGCAATATACAAACTCCATGGCAAGGGCAAAGGGGCTCTCGCCCCCTCTCAAACCCCTCCCCCAACAACCAAACCTACCATTACCCCCCTCCCCCAGAGGACCTGGGTTCAATTCCCAGGTGGGATGAAACCTTCGGCAAATTTCCTTACTTCACACACACACGCACCTCTGTTCACCTAGCAGTAAGTAGGAATCGGTGGCTAGTCGATTGGTGGTTCACTTTCTGGTTGTAATAATCCTCCTAAAACAAATAACAATAATAATTTGGTCATTCAATCTATGACTGTTTGTGGCAAATGCAAAGATTATTATTATATATCACCCTTTAAAATAAACTAAAAAGGGATTTTGGCTTTCTTACTAATCTTCTGAGGTTAGTAGATATATTTCCTCACCTTCAATCCATGACGACTGTTTGTGCGAAATTGACTGTCATGTTTCGCCCACAAAATATACAGTCAAATACTTTACAGTTTATTCTGTGAACCCCTTTAGACATCTCGAAGACGTGATAAGGTGCTTTATCAAATGCAAGGATTATTATTATTTATCTGCTGATGTATTTCGAACGTTTATAATCTGGCGTGAAATTTGAATTTCCTAATGTTAACTGCACCTATCAGTGAAGCACTGCAAATTTCGTCCCAACAAGTGAAGACGTAGGATAAGTCTTAGCGACAAACCAAATAACTTAGATGACATCAAGGCCCAAAAATGTTTTTATTACAACAGGAAACATAAAAAATAGCTTGCATTTATGTGATACCCTTCACATAAGACAACGTGTCTGAGCTCTTCAAAAGCAAGAGAGAAGTTGTTTAGGTTGGCATAGTGGCTAATAGATTAAACATACAGATCTATGTACGTGATTGAAATAGCAATACAGAATTAGAAAATACAACAGTCAGGGTTCTCTCCACTCTCAATGTACAGGTATATAGAACTTTAGCACTCTGTGTGTAAGTGGGTATTGTTCTTTAATCATCCCTGAAATTATTACATTATTCAGGGAAGAGGGAGGGGAATCGCTTGCATATGCACGTTACCTAAAGGATAGTTAGCAGCCCTAGCGAAACCAATGAAAATGGGGGTGGCTTGGTGTAAATAACAACTGCGGCTGAATACATGCATTGTCTTTTGTGAAGCTTTTTGTCCGCGATCAATCACAAGGCTGTGTAAGTAGTCAGGCTGTGACTGCGCTGAGATAGGGATCCATTAAAAGGGTACTGTTTTAATGAAAAACTTGTGCGGCAAACATTTTTTCTCAATTGTTTACAAATGGGCAATGAGGTGACATAAATCGCAGTGAGCTGTGTTCTTACATCACCTTCAGATAAAATCTTTGTGACGGTAATAACACAGGTCTCTTCTCCCACCCCCAAAAAGAAATGCCAACAAATTGTTTCATGAAGAGTCTTGTTTAAATGGAGTTCAAGCGCCACCTAGCAATCTGTTATGGTAACTACATATTCAGTTGAGGACTGTATAATCAATAATAATGGCACTCAAAGGGTAATAATAATAATCCTTGCATATAGCGCCTTATCACTTTGTTGAGACATCTCAAAGCGCTTCACAGAATATATTGACCATGAATTTGTAGACGAAACTGGAACAGAGGTCAATTGATGAGCTATACATTATCTTCTCCATGAAGCGCTTTGAGACATTTTTTCCTTTTGTTACTCTCCTGCATCAAACGCCACATAAATGTGCTATATAATTGCAAACAGTTGTTTTTTTTTGTTGGACAAGTCCATTTGGGCTCAGATAACCAAATGGTTTACATACTACCATCTCCTATTTATTGGCTGTTAATGAGAACTCTTGCTCTGTTCACTTGGTTTAAATTTTGAGTTACAATATATATTTTCGAATTGTTGCGCCTTCCAGCTAGAATGCTGTAGCCCTCACTTGAATGTTAAAACTTCCTTTACATTTTGTGGTTCAGCTCTCTGTCACAATGGTTTATAATAGTTTGCTTTAAATAGACCTAGAACGGAAAGCAAATTGTGACAAATATTTTGAACTTGGCTCAATTATGTGTGTCTTTTTTAAAAAAAAATAATAATTTTAGAACTTTTAATAAGGTTGCTTATTTTTAGATAGAAAGTGGTCTTTTGGACAGGACATAGAAACACTATAGACATGTGGGGGCGCTGGTGCTGTCATCTAAGTTAATATAGTATATTAATGGGAGCTTATTTCTGTCACATTATCAGGTTTCTAACAAGAGAAAGACAGAATGTCTGGAATAAAAACAGCTTTTATTAAAATGACATAATAATGGCAATCGTAAACAAAGTCCCATGTGCAAGTATAGTATATGACAATTGGGTGCAAGACATTGAGCGAGAGGGTAAGAGAGGGAGGAGGGAGGTGAAAAAGAGTTAGGGTTTCAGTTTTTTTTTAAAGATAATAATACTTAAACCATAATTGTTTTTAAAGCATAGGAGTAGGCAATTCAGCCCATCATGTCTGGGCCAGTTCCTTTAAGAGCAATCCTTTCAGTTCCATTTACCTGTCCTCTCCCTGTACCCTTGCAGTTGAATTATTTTATTCCTTATCATGTTCCCTTTTGAAAGCCACCTGCATTCGAATAGTGTCCTTCACATCAGGACAATGTCTCAAATCATTAGGGAGATGGGAAAATTGAGGGGATGAGGGAAATTGGGAGGATGAGGGAAACTGGAAGAATGGGACGTGATTTAGGGGAATAGGAGGAGATTGGTTTCCTGAGATCCAAATGAATTGTGTTATCGAAAATCTTTAGCAATTGGACAGGAGCTGAAATAGTTTCTAAAATGCTGGAAAAACTCTTATGCATATTAAAACTAGGTAGGGGTTCTGCAATATTTATGTTCTATTTTTATTCATGCAGATTCAGTTTCATGATTAGAGTTTTACATGATCTCTATTTTATTTTAGTGACATGGGAATAAACAATATCCAAATTCTGAAGAATACTACTTTCAAGCATTGCAGCATGTTAAGCGTATTGTAAGTAAAAAAAACTTAGCACAGTGATTATGGCATTTCTCATGTATTTCTCATGTAAGTGCTCCAGGACACTATCCCGTGTGGAGAGCGCTATATAAATGCAAGTTGTTGGTGTTGTATTTCACATAGCTTGTTTTATGCTTTTTTAAGCACACCGAGATGGCACCCTACGTGAAAGCTGCTAGGTGAATGCAAGTTGTTGTTGTTGTACAGTTCTTCAGATGAATTTAGTTTTGTTTCAAGATATTTTATTGACCTTTAGTGCCTGAGTTTATTTGCTTAATATTATCTCATTGTAGTTCAGTTTATCAATATCAATTATATCTATCTGGTTCCATGTTAAGTGTCAGCTTAGTTCAATAGTTAGCTCTCTCAGGGGGTTGCAGATTGAAGCCCCATGTTGGAACTTCAGCTTGTGGTCTCAGTTAACCCTCCTGGAGAGCCCTTCTGTCATTTCAATGAGATGTTAAGCCAAAGTGATGCCTGTCTGTTCAAGTGGATGTTAAGGAACCCATGACACTATTCTAAAAAAGTGAAGGAAATTTCTCCTGGTGCCCTGGTCAACAATCCTCCAGATAAATTGGTCATTCACCTCATGTTTGTGGGAGATTCCTGTGTGAAAAATTGGCTGTATTTTGTCTGCAAAATAGTCACTGTACTTTACAGTAATTTGAGATATTTAAACATTCTATAGGATCTATAAAAACACAATGATTTGTATTACATTATCTCTCCCAGTGCAGTTATCCACTCTAATCCAATTCTCTCCCCAAATCTTTTAATATTATTTTCCTCAAAAGGAATTGGATAGATTCCTTTTTAAATGCTTTATGAACTCAACTTCAACATCCATTTGTGGTGATATATTCCATTCCACATTATAATAATCCGGGTGAGAAAAATCTCTTCCACTCTTCCCCCTTTTATCTTCTGATTATAATCTTCAATTTCTTGCCTAGCTGATCCGTGGGAATAGTATCCGTCTGTTAAAGCCATTTATAAGTCCAAAGAAGATATCAAGGGAATTGATTGGGAGATTCAAGGGGCTTTAGTCTCAATTGTTGAAACTTATCGGTATCTTGGGGACGTGGTGAACACCCAAGTTTTGCCTGGAGGTTACAGAGACGTCACGGAATCGTACCACAGTAGTAGGAAAAATAAGTAAAACTAATTCCTTCAGGAGAGGAGGATAGAGAAATCAGAGGATAACAAATAGTAAACAATAGGATTACCTGCCAGGAAAGTGCATTGTGGCTTTGGCAGGAATTGATATAGTAGCTATGTAACTGAGAATATTAATGGACCTGTACGCTAACCTGTTTAACATTTCAATTCCTTTCAGTGCATTCAGCGAAAACAAGATCAACATTATACAAGATCATGCTTTCTCAGGATTGCAGAATCTTATAGAACTGTAAGTTTTATAGAGTGTAAAGAAATCTACAAATCTTAATTCATAAGATCATCGAGCAGGTGGCAGGTGTAGCAAGCAAAGTACTCTGTTGCAATGATTAAAAGGAAGGTCATGAGGGAATCTAACCCCATCATTCTTGAGACTGCTGTGTCCAATTTCACAGCAGTACTGACAGAGAGAGATCCGATATCCAAGGTGAAGGATATCTGTCTGCAAACATTTTGTTCCAACTCAGAAACCCAGTCCAAGATGCATACTCAAAAAGACCATTACGTTTGCAAAAGATCATAGAAACATAGAATCTTACACCACAGAAGGAGGCAATTTAGCCCGTTGTGCCTCTTTGAAAACGTATCAAACTAGTCCCACTTCCCCCTCTTACATCATAGCCCTGCAATTATTTCCTTTTCAAGTATAATAGCAGAAAGAATACGTTCAATTGGTATAGGGAAGCTAATGAAGGAAGGGAAGAAGAAAATAATTTTAAAAGGGGATTTTTAAATGAGGTGAAGCGAATAAAACTTGAAACAATCCAGAATTTTTTTAAGGGACCATCTATGAAGGCAAAGCCATTAAGAGCTACTGAAGCTAAAGGTTTGCACTGTGTTCATTGGTTTCATTATGCATAGATTCTCTTTAGTGTCTATTGAGTTTCTCTTAGAATTGTTGTGTTATATTTCACAGAAACTGATATGATCTTTTTATATGTTTCCACAGGGATCTGTCTAAAAACCGGATACAAGATATCTCTCCCCACTTATTTAAAGATATAACTGAACTTCGACAATTGTAATTTCAGCATCATTTACAACTACTTACTTTTACTGTTTCATCCTTATAATATCAATGTTGTGAAATATGTTCTAATTAACTGAAAGAGAAATTCACTCTCATTGTAGCATTTCACAAGACATAAAAGTTGTTACTTTCACACTGGTGCACATTATTGTTGGTACTGTTATGCAAATAGTGTAAGCAGATGCCATCATTATTTCACTAACACTTAGAATGGTGGCAATCTGGTGCAAGCTCTTGATAGCATACCTCTTAAAAATATCAAAAACAGGTGCACATTTGCAGAACTGGCACCGTTTCCATATTTCACTGATAGTTTGAACACATTTACTGCCTTAATACTTGTATCAGCCTTCTAACATTTAACATACTCCAATTAATGTAAAGCATGCCAGTGGATCTGGAGATACTGTTGATATGACATTATCCTTACAGTAGGAAGACAAAAGAATGCTGTTGTAAGCCCTCCGAGATGCGTTCTGGTGTGAAGGGCTCTATGTAAATGCAAGTTGTTGTTGTTGTAACACTCTTCGGTCTAACGCTGCCCTGCTTCTAGTTTGATTCCAGCATTGATTAGCCGTCTTCCTGCGCTAACCGATGGAGAGGGAAGAGTTCTGATTCAACAACAATAACAATTTATATTTGTATACCATCTTTCATGTCAGGAGCTGGGGGTGTGGGAGCCAAGGTTGGGTGGGAAAGAGACGGTCAAAGAGATAGGTCTTGAAACATATCTTGAATTCTGTCACATCTCCTTCATTGAGTACATATATCACTCACGCCACATTTTGTGGTTTGCTAATGAATGTGCACAAAGTGATATTAGTGCTTCTTCCTGCGCATAAAACAACAACAACAAAATTACATTTGTATAGCGTTTTTCACGTTGGGAGGACGTCCCAAGGTACTGGACAGCGTACAGCATTTCAGACACGAGCTGGGGTGAGGGCGGAAGAAGGGAGGGGAGAGGAAGGGGGGTTCGCTGATGGCATGGTCGAAGAGGAGGGTCTTGAGGCAGGATTTGAAGGAGGCTAAGGAGAGGGCGAGGCGGAGTGACTGGGGGATAGAATTCCAGAAGTTGGGGACAGAGTGGCTGAAGGCTCTTCCACCAATAGTGGGGTGGGTGGGTCGGGGGACATGGAGCAGGCCAGAGCCAGCTGAGTGGAGGGAGCGGGCGGGTTGTAGAGGGTTAGGAGGTCACAGAGGTAGGGTGGGGCAAGGCCATTGAGGGCTTTGTATGTGAGGACCAGGATCTTGAACTGGATCCTCTGAAGGATAGGGAGCCAATGGAGTCAGGCGAGAGTGGGGGAGATGGGGTCACAGAGTTTGGTGCAGGAGAGGACACGGGCTGCAGAGTTCTGGATTATCTGTAGTCTGTGGAGGGAAGAGTTGAAAAGGCCGACAAGCAGAGTATTTGCATAGTGGAGCTTGGAGATGATGAAGGCATGAACAAGAGTTTCAGTGGCCTGAGGGGTGAGGTAGTGGCGGAGTCTGGCAATGTTACGGAGGTGAGGGAAGGCAGAGCGGGTCATGGCTTGGATGTGGGGAAGAAAAGATAGTTGAGGGTCGAACAAGAACCTAGGTTCCTGACTGGCTTGGTGAGTAGCGTGCAACATGCAGGAAGTGGGGGCAGTGGCAACCTAATGATCCAGAAGTCAACTATGATTCTTGTAATGATTCGCTTATGACATATTTGCTGAGAAGTTGGTCCCAGCCAAAAGTGCTATAAAATGTTCCTCTCTACCATGAAACTCAGTATATTAGTTATATTGTTGCAGGGCTGGATTTGCCAGATCACATTTATAACTCACTTATAGCTGAGTGGGTATTAATGGACCATCGGCATTCTCAGGTATGCACAGAGATGTGAATCCTGTGTCATGCCGGCAATATAAAAAATCACAGTTACAGCAATGGTGAGAATTATCAAACAAATGGAATGCCCTCAGTCTAGGTAGACCCATTTTATCTCATCCTTCCAGAATATCCATCCTAACATTTTCCTATTAGCAATCAAACTGTTTCTTAGAAGAGTCCAGCAGCCTGGCCTCAAGTCTCTTCCTGGAAATCCATTTCAATTGTTAATTATACTCTGCACCAAGAGATACTTCCTGGTTTGTGCATTCAAATTGCCCATTGAAGCCAGAATCCTGTGCCCTCTCGTTCTGCTCTCTAAGTGCATCCAAAACTAATTCCTGTTGGCATTTGCTAGGAATTGAACTCGGCCTCCTGCTTCAAAGGTGGGAATTCTACCCTTGAGCCACTCCATTGTAAAATTTCTCTTTACTTCCAACAGTATTAGGCCAATAGAAAGTGTTTGATCCATTGGGTCACTATGAAAATCACTATTAAATCAAGTCATAGAAACTTGACACAGGCTTTTCAACTGAGCCGACAATGTATGTGCTGCATATGTAGATCATCAAAGTGTTTACATGTTCCAAACAGGGATGGCTTAGCATTCGTCTAGTCTGTCTTAATGTGGAATGTTTATGACCACATAAAGTAACAGGACTCTTTGTATGCAAAAGTACTGAATTAAAACTATTTCTCATTGTGTTTTGCAGGAATATTTCTTACAATCCAATTCAGCAAATTCAGTTGGATCAGTTTGACAATCTATTGAAATTAAAGTCACTGTAAGTTTTTGTGGCACTCTTTTGATATGGATCTTCTGATCTCCGTTTTAATATTCCACCTTTTGCTTTAAATTAATGAGCAGTATTGTTTTTTTTTAGTCGGCCGAATGTCTGACACATGTGGAAATCCCAAACCATGCTTAAGAGTATCCAGCACAACTGAGAATTCCATGCATCCCACCAAACATGCAAATGCCAGAGATAAATTGTTGGAATGGAATACACATGCTCTCCCTGGAGGGACGCAGCCTGCTTACCTAATTCCAGAGAGTATTAGATGCAGGTTGGCAAGAGCCAAGGCTTGGTACCCATAGTGTGTTTTGGGGTACTGCTGGAGTGTAACAGCTAAACTACAATAATAATAATCTTGCATTTGATACAGCTTAGAGGGCTCCGGCCTGCCTCACATCCCCCACCTCGCCGGGCCCCCCCATTGGCGGGCGGGCTTTCTGCCACTCTGCCCCATCCTCTGGAACTCCATCCTGCAGTTCCTCTGCCTCGTTGCCTCCCTTGCCTCCTTCAAGGCCCATCTCAGGAAATCTTTAACATCTACCTGAACAGGCAGATAGGACCTCAGATTAACGTCCCAACCAATGTACAGCACCTCCCCCAGCATTGCACTGGATTGTCAGTTTGGACGATTTGAGTTCAAGTCCCGAAATGGGTCTTGGCCTAGAGTGCTAACACTAAGCCAGGCTGACACTCTTAGAACTGCATAGCTTGTCATTGAAAGTATTGTCTCAAGCTTCCTCTGCTTATCCAGGGACGTTGTCTCGCAAAGTCTTGTTGTCAATTGTCTTAATCTTATTTACTGTCACAATTTTCATCCCATTGCTTTTAGACTCTCCTTGTATTGTCCTGGTAATTCCATCTCCACTTTGGGAAGGCAGGCCCTTGTTTCCCTCTGGGAACACGGATTCTGGGAGCTGGTTTATTTAGCAGTAAAAGATGATAGTGTGCATGCTGCAAACCAAACGTGGCTTTTTATGGACTTTGTTATTTTCTGTTATTGCAGTAACATGGAAGGAATGGAATTATCATTTCTGGAAGCCAGGATGTTTCAGCCACTTACAAATTTGTCCTTCGTGTAAGTATTATACAAGAATAGAGTCTGTGCTTTGCAATATATTTGCAGTGTTCCTCAAAGCGTTCCTTATCCTCATCAGCACAAGCAACAATAATTTGTTACTGTTTCTTAAGTAGCGTCACCCTTGTGGATGCTTCATTCACCATGTTGTTCCTCTAATTTCCTCTGTACTGGCTTCTCCTGTACTAGGTCAGCTGGCCAATGGTTCATAAAATCATAGAATCCAACAGCACAGAAGGAGGTCATTCAGCCTGTGCCAGCTCTTTGAAAGAGCTATGCAATTGGTCCCAATTTATCCAATTTAATGTGGTAAAACACCCATGGCAAATTGACTTCATGCAGATCTGGTGGAGACTCATAAAAGGAATTGTGTCTCAAGAATTTCCCAGAGTTAAAATTCCTATTGCTGAATGAACTTACAACCATGTTCTCACTTACATCAGAAAACTAACTGCTGAATATAAAGTCAGTTTACTGCTTTTTCACCAGCAAACAGACAGCTGACCATGTCTGGGAATTGGAGGCTGGAAGTAGTGTGATGAATGAAAGTAAGTCTTCAATTAATAACAATGATGGCAATGAAAAAACAAAAACATATTTGTGAGATTCACTAAAGCTTGTGGCATATAAAACAAGGAGTGCATTATGGAAAATAACTAATGTTGCCCTCAGCTCCTGTTGGCACTTTCGTGCTCAATATTAGGGTAATACCAAATTGCCTTCTCTTCTAGATACTTTAAAAAGTTCCAATACTGTGGCTACGCCCCTCATGCTCGGAATTGCAGACCTAACACAGATGGTATCTCCTCGTTCGAGAACCTCCTGGCTAACATTGTGCTCCGAGTCTTCATTTGGGTTGTCTCTGCCATTACGTGTTTTGGAAACATCTTCGTCATATGCATGAGACCTTACATCAGATCTGAGAACAAGCTTCACGCCATGTCCATAATGTCTCTCTGCTGTGAGTATACACTCTTGGGCATTCATTGCAAAAACCTTTTATCTTTCAATATTTTAACTCTACAAATGTTCTCGCCTTCTCTTCTCCTGAACAGATCTGATATCATTTTTTTGTTCTACTGTGGTACATTGCCAGTCACTGGTGACCCAGCTTGTGAATGGTGGAGCTAGGGAGACCAGCAACTAGCACCTTAAAAGTAGGATGACCGTCTTGAATCACTTAACAAATGTAATAGAAAGAGCCAAGCAGGAAGAACGGAGGGAAGAGTGCTAACAAAAAGCATAGCCAAAGGGATATGTCAAAAGCTTTTGGAGCCAGGGAAGTGTTGGAAAACTATTGGACCATGAGAGAAAATCATAGCCAAACCTTTAATATCACTGCACATTCATCTTCTACGAAGACATTTGGATAGTGATCAGAACCGAGAAGTCTCGCTGATTAGAAATAAAGTATAGCTTCACAGATTGTAGGACGTAGTGTTCCGAAGGGATCTGAAACTCTGGAACACCCTTCCTCTTTTCCTCCCCTTGCCCCTGCTCCCCCACCGCATCTCCCCCCCACCCCCCTCCACGGCCTTAGAGTCAGGCTCCATGACTATCAAGTGCTCAAAGATGCTACCCTGCGTGAGGGGCGCTACATAAATGCAAGTTGTTGATGTTAAATGCAAGTTATTTTTGTTGAATATATGAGGGAGAAGGAAATGGAGGAATACAGAAGAGGGGATTAGGAGGGATGAAGGCTTATGTGGTGTAAAAATACTGGTGTTTCTATGAGTCCGAAACACTGATTGGGACGTCCTCCCGACGTGAAAGGCGCTATACAAATGTAATTTTGTTGTTGTTGTTTCTCTTCCTAACGTGAACTAACTCAGAACAGACTGGGTTTGAATTTATGACCTATCAGTAAGGCCTAGTGCGATACTGGGCAGTGATTTTACTCACTAAGTTATCGGGGAGTTCTGCTTTTTTCTATAGGGTGAAAATGGCAATGTTTCTTAACATGAAAAACATTACAATTTTCATCTCTTTTGTTTATTTTCTTTCTTATCCTCCTTTTCTGCTCTCTCTCCTGGTACACAAAAACAAGGAGATACACAAGAATAAAAACAGAAGTCACTGGGAACAAACAGCAGGTCGGGCAGCATCTATGGAGAGAGGAAAATTAGTTAACGTTTAGGTATATGACCTTTCGTCAGCTCTTTGACATTGCAGGTCAATGACTGTTCTGAAGAAAGTTCATAGACCTGAAATGTTAACTAATTTTCCTCTCTCCATAGATGCTGCCTGATCTGATGTATGTTCCCGGTGACTTCTGTTTTTATTTCAGATTTCCAGCATCCGTAGTACTTTGCTTTTTGCAGATACACAAAAGTCTGCTTCCTGAATTCCATTTCACAGCCATCTGTTTGAGTTCCCTGTTTAGGTTTCACTGAAATTAGTTTCTTACTTAGCGTCTTCCAATTTACCCTTTATTTCAGGCACACTTAAAGACTTCAAGTTTCATTAAAATGAATGAGTTATTCAGTTGCATGGTGCTGATGGTTTATCTGTATAATGTGGTATGTTTATGCATGTGTGTTTTCTGGGTCACAAACTTCCCTGTTCTGGATGCGTAGACATCCTTCAGATGAGACATTAAACCAAGGTCTGTTTGCCTATCCAAGTCCCACCGTACTATTCAAAAGTTGAAGGGAGCTTCATTCGGTGTCCTGGCCAACAATTGCTGAAATAAAATTGTTCATTTGCTTCATGCTGTTTGTGGAACATTGCTGTGTACAAAATTGACTGCAACACTTGCTTACAAAATACAGTCTCTAATTCATTGTGCAGTAATTCCTGTGAAGTTCCTTTAAACATCTCAACGATGTGAAAGGGTATTATATCTAATACAAGAATAATTAATAATTATTAATGTTGTGTCTATCATGATAGACCCTCAACATGTGTTCATCATGATAAACCCAATGTTGTGTGTCTATCTTACACTATCTCCAGGGCAAATTTCCAGATCTTCAGAACTCTAGTAGTTGAGTAGGATAATCAGTGATATTGAGCACATTTCCAACCATAACCCATGTCTTCATATTTTTGTAGCCTTGACCTGGCCAACAATCCTCCAACTAAATTAATCATTCATTTCAAGATTATTTACTGTGTGCAAATTGTATGCTGTGTTTACCTACAAATACACTGTCGTTGCACTTGACAACAATTATCTGTGAGGCACTTTGAGGCATTTCAACATTACTGAAACTATATCAAGTGCAATTATTATGAAGGTCAAATGAAGGCCAAAAACAACCCAAAGACACTGCTTTCCACCACCCGTCACCTCCTCCACGCACCCCTCTAGCTCCCTCTATCATCACATCAAACGCCAAGTGCAGCGAGGTCCTATGCTTCTTTGCCTCAAAGATTGGAAACATCCCCTTGGCTGCATCGTCCCCACCCCCCCATATCCCCTTTCACCTCACCCACACCATCCACACTACTTTCTTCCAATGTGATGGCTCCTGCCACTCCCCTCTCTTTACACTGCTTTGCTCCCATTTCTCTCTCCTAACTCTCAGCCACAATCATCTGCATGAAGTTCACCACCTGCTGCCTCGATGCCCTATTCACCCAGCTGCTGGTCACTCAACTCCCCCTTCTCTCCGCCCTGCTGGCTGACATGATCAACAAGTCTCTCTCCTCTGGCTCTGTTCTGCTCCCACTAAAAAACTCTGTTCTCGCACCCTTCCTCAAAAAATCCACCCTCGATCCCTCTAATCTCCCACACTACTGTCCCATCTCCAACCTTCCCTTCCCTGCCAAGTCCTGGAACTCATTGTTGCAAGTCAACTTAGGTCATACCGCTCCTTCTACTCCCTACTTAAGTGCTCTGATATGCTGTGTGGAGGGCACTATATAAGTCCAATTTTTGTTGTTGTTGTTATTTTTATTACACCCTTTTCTGTATGTTCACTCTAGGTGCAGACTGCTTGATGGGGATATATCTTTTTGTGATCGGAGCTTATGACCTTAAATATCGTGGCAAGTACAACAAGCATGCTCACCTGTGGATGGACAGTATGCAGTGTCGGATAACTGGGTCTTTGGCAATGCTGTCAACAGAAGTGTCCGTCTTACTCTTGTCCTACCTGACTTTGGAAAAATACCTCTGCATTGTTTATCCTTTCAGCAACCTGAAGCCAGGAAAGTACAGGACAGTTTCCATTCTGATCCTTATCTGGTGTGTGGGGTTTGCCATTGCGTTCACTCCCCTGATGAGTAACGATGTATTTAAGAATTACTATGGCACAAATGGAGTGTGTTTTCCACTGCACTCAGAACAGATGGAGTCTTACAGAGCACAGGCCTATTCCGTTGTCATTTTTCTTGGTAAGTTTGAAGCAAGCCATTCTTTTCATCTTTATGGTTTTTAATGTTGCATATGCCAGGCAATCATTTCATTTACGAAACAACATTCCCATCTCTGTCTTGTGTTTAGTTAATGGATCTTAGTTGAAAAAGCAATAGGAAGACAGCTGGTCTTGCACCTGTGGGCAAGAGAGGAAAACATTCAGCCAGAGTTCCCCAATCACCTTTTTTTTGTTTTGCATATCCACAGTAAAGCTGGAAGTAATGATAACTGCAATTTAATGACTCCAAAATTGGCCATTTTAGCACAAATGGAGCGTGGGCAAGGTCGGTGGAAAACAAATGGGCCAGCTACCCATAACCAAATTTGCACTACAGTGAAGTGTATTATAATGGGGTTGCAGTGTACCTTTTAAATGCTGTTATGAACTCAGTTTCAACAGTCATTTTGATAAGGTATACCACATTCTCTGGGTAAACTAAATTCTTCTGACCTCCCTAGAAGTACTGAAGTATTAAAAGCACTAAAATGTTTGGTTTGAATTTAATTGTTAGATAGTTTTAGCAGAGCAGGACACTTAGAAACAACTCAAATGTCAGTGGAAACTCAGTTTGAAAAACATTTTTTGTGTTTTTTTTGCAGGTGTGAACTTGATTGCTTTCATAGTGATAATATTTTCCTACGCAAGCATGTTCCACAGTATTCATCAGACAGGTGCAATGGCAACAGAAATCAGCAACCACATTAAAAAGGAAGTAACCATCGCCAAGCGCTTCTTTTTCATTGTCTTCACAGATGCGCTTTGTTGGATTCCTATTTTCGTATTAAAAATTCTGTCCGTGCTTCAGGTCGAAATACCAGGTAAGTCAGTCACTCCCCCTTCCTACATTTAAAGACCAATAATTATAATAATAATGCTTACATTTCATACAATGCCTTTCATGTCAAGATGTACCCAAGCACTTCACAAGATATATTGTAGTGAAGTTATTGCGTTGTTTGGGCAAACACAGCAGCCAATTTTATGCACAGGAAAGACCCACAAACAGCCATGGAGTGAATGACTTTGCTGTATTATTGGCCAGGACATCAGGAGAAACTTTCTTCTCTTTTTGAGAAGAGAAATAAACCTAAAGAGACCAAGTGCTAGATGCAAAAGCAATACATTTCAAAATGGTCAGTATTAGTTTCTAATAATTACTTCACTAAAAACACATGGCATAGGCTATTTACCATTCTCTTCAATGCATTTTAATGCAACTGACAATTCTTCAGTAAGATAATTGGATCACAATTTGAAGTATATAAATGTATTGTTAGGAGCAACATATATTGCTAGAGCTTAAGTCATAGCTTCTTTCGAGCACTGCTCCCTGGAACAATTAATGAAACAATGAGATCGTAGTTTCCAATATGCTTAGAAACAATAGCACCAATTTCTCAGGAAATCAACAGGATACATTGCTCTCCTAACGGAAGATCAAATACAATTCCAAACAATTAAAGTTGAAACTCCAATATCATCTTATCTTATTGTTGATTATTTATGAACATTAACAAAAATATCACCAACATTTCAAAATAGACAGAAATTATGCTTGTTTTGTTGGGACGTGCTCCTGACGTGAAAAGCGCCATACAAATGTTGTTGCTGTTGCTTACCTGCTTCTCCTGAAACCAAATGCAGATGGATAATTGTACCTGTATCAACCACGAGAGGGCACTCACAAACAGCTAAACTTGTGCTCACTGTGCAATACAATTAGTGAAGCAAATTGGGCAGATTGTTCTTTCAGAGCCAACACAGGTAACAATGGGCCACAAGACCTTATGTTCAGTAACAATCTGACACTGTGTTTAGATGAGATTCTTTGAAGTGCCTATAATACAATATCACAGGAAATAAGACATATTTATACTCTCAGCACCCGCAGTGATTGTATAGTGAGGGCCTGGTATGAATGTAACTGCAGGGCTTATCGTAGGTTCTTGATGTTTGCATTTTCTTTTTTTTTAAATATGCAGGTTCAATAAGTTCATGGGTGGTCATATTCATATTGCCAATTAACAGCGCACTGAACCCAATCCTCTACACTATAACAACTCGTCCATTCAAAGAAATGATACTACAGTGCTGGTACAACTATAAAAAGAGAGGAAGCAATGGAAGCCAGAAAAACTCTGCGCCATCGTTCATCCTCTTGGAAATGTGGCCATTACAAGAGACTATACCAACAGTAACAAGAACTGAAATCTTTCAAAATACATCAGAAGATTCACTCAATCCCGAGACACCATGAAGCTGGACTCTTAGCACACACACACACAAAACTTCTAGAACATTTTGTATCAAAAACTTTAGCACGAGGTGGTATTCTTACACACAGAGTGATCACATTTGGCTAAAGATCTGGAGGATCTGGTTGAAAACATTGCCAAGATTTTAGCATAATAAAAAAAACTTCATCTTATTTATTTTTGGGGCAAAGCTTAAATTCTGATTATGTTTTGCCTTGTGGCATTGTTGAGACACTTCCGTACTTCAAATTGGATGTAACTTCCATATTACATGTAAAAAGTGAGCACAGCTCTTTGGTGTGTTATCATACATCTTGTTTACACAGTTTGATACCTCAGAACGACAACGAGTGACTTGAACCATGTTTTAATGAATTGTTTCAGTGGCTTTGCACGTTGTATTAATGCTTTGTGTAGAACTTTTACTATTTAAATAAATGCTCTATTTGTATGAAGTACAGGATTATCTTTGAAGGTGTCTTAATTGCAGCTCATAAGCAATGAGAGGCGATGGCAACAACAACTGTGGTCTGCTGCTCGTCAGTTTGAAATAACTGAAATAACTTTGCCTAATGTTGTTTTGTGGGCATCACTCAGCCTCTGTAATTTGGATGTTTGTGCGTGTACCTAAGCCAAATATGTTAGAAAGTCACCTTGAGCACTGCAGCATGTAGATAGTGCAAGGTCAATCTGCATGAACAACTGCTAGCCTTGGCACAAGAGGCCTTGGCAATGCCATAGAGATGTCATTGTGGTCTCCTCTAGTCAAATGCGTTAGTTTAAAAAATCTAAAAATCATATTACGATATTCCCATCTGCAAAGGTTACACCTCCTTGTACTAATATATGAACACTGTTGTGAATATTTAACAAGAGTAATTTAATATATTATAATGTGCTGTGTCTTTACTATGAATAGTTTGGTTTGTACAATCTTGTTGTTGCTACATGTTATTTAACAGGAGGGAGGTTTGGCTGGCTTAGTAGCTTCAAATCCAGTCCCAAACCATAGGATGAAGTCTCTTCTCTCTACTAACAGTACAGGTGAGATTGGTTTGCTCATTGCAATTCTAGTTTCCCAGTGGGGATGAGCCTTGTTATCGGCATTGTTATGAAATTGAGATTACCTCTCAGACAAGGCAGAACGGTGGCGGATGTGGGAACTGACGATGTATATTATACCGCTGGTGAAATAGAAGCTACTCTTAAAGTTGTGGTTGGGCTATTGCTGGGGCAAAATGGAGGGAGCTTTATTTTGCATCTGGCCTATCTTATATACCTGACAGTGCTTGATGCTGACACTGAGTGCCAAAAATGGAAGATCCATTTCCCAGCACTGACATCACTTATCATGTTGAGCACAACTGCTCATTGATTAGTTACCATACTGTGAATATTTTCTGTAGATATTATCTAAGACAATAATAGAACTGTAAAAAAAATTCAAATTTTCTGAAACATTTTCAATTGCAATGAAAACTTGGACAAATTATTGTATTGTGAACTTTAACTTACTGTCAAACAAATAAAATGCTAAAAGCAATATAGCTTCCAGATTTGCCAACAATGTTGAACTCTTTCAGCTCATTGGACAGCATACCATATCCCCTGAGGTAAAATATAATTTGCAGATACAAAGCCAGGTTGAAATAAATAGAAACTGTCATCAGCTAAATGGCCTGTTCAAATTCTATTTAATTTCTTGCACTATTTGCATTACTAAACTATTTGCTCAAATGATTCAAGAGAAATCAATTAATTTGAGATCTAAGTAGCCCGCTGAGGCCTGAAAGTCCATTTAGGATTGTAAAACTATTCTGTCTTAAAACTTGATATTGCACAGAATTGTTGAAGGTGCATCCTTCAGATAAGTCGATAAAACTAAGGTCCCGTCAGCCTGTTTGTGTGGACATTAAAGATCCCATGGAAATATTCAAAAGGAGAAGGAAGTTTTTTCTGGTGTCCTGGCCAAAATCCCCACCGCCCACCCCCACCCCCCCCACACAAAAAATATTCATATTTCATGACTGTCGCACATTGCTGTGAAAACATTGGCAGTTGTGTTCACCTACAAATACACAGACCTATACTTTACAGTAAATTGCAGTGCTTTAAGACGTCTCAACAATGTAATATGAAATGCAAAGGTTACTATACTATTATATCATAATTGAAATCGTAAATTCAGGCTTAATTTGGAAGTCAATTTTCTACTATTCTTAAAAAGAACCGATTTCCAGTTTAAGATGAAATGTAACAATGTTCCATAATTCTGCGTGAATTTATATTTTAAGACAATATAGATTTATAGGAATACTGCCAGGGGTAATAGGAATTTCAGACAACGCATCAGAGCCTGTGGTGAATGAGAGACACTGGGGAGAAAATAAAGGGAGCCATACCCTCAAAAGAAATGATTATGCATTACTGATTCAGGGTACCCATTAGTATAATCGTGCAGCACATCAGTACGAGGTAGGTTGGTAAAATTTATGGCATTTGCATATCTAGGATCAATATCAGGCTTTGGCTTGAGGTGATGTCTTCTTGCTTCACCAATGATACCAAACAGCCTGGTCAAACATCAATAATCCCTTTGGATTACAGTTTCTCAGAATCAATCAACATTTTTTTAAAAAACAAAACCTTTTATCAAGCTTAAAAAGACAAGGGCCTGAATGGAAGCAACCACTTCAAACGCAGAATATTCCTGGCTCAAGTGCAGTGCCTCACAACTGAAATTACAGTAATTCATTGCATACCACTGCCAGTTATGGCTCTATTTATACATACATTTCAAAACCTTTTAATAAGTTTTTTGGCATCAGAGTTCCACAATTCCACCTAATGTTAAACTGTTAGACCATTTTTCTCAAAATTAAAGTTTACGCACAATTGTACAAATCCTTGAAATCAATCTGAATTTGGAACCAGATCCTCTTTGAGAAGCGGCTTCCAAATTAAGATTCAATTTAAGAATTTTTCACAGTTGTGAGCAATATTACATTTGAAGACAAAATGGTAATTCAGACAGATTACATGAAATTTCAAGCCTCAAAAGTGTGGATATGGAACAAATAGTTCACTCATTTGATTGACAGTTGTCATTACTTCTTCACATATTTTTCTCCTTGAGATCAATGGGCCATTTGCTGCTTTGAAGGCTGGTTGTTCGCCAGCCACAATCATTTTGACTTTCTTACCCAACAGCCATCGCAACTGGTTTCCCAACCAAGTGTAACCCATTTATACCAACCATTGAACTGCTGCCCTGTTGATTGGCCACTTTGCTGTGATTCCTACAGACTTTAAGGAGGACTTGTGGGATTATTTCAGAGCAGGTTGAATTTCCAGAGAGGCTAACAACTGTCAATATGGATTTCCGAATCACCTACATAAAAGGTGCCATAATTAGAGTTTTTTCAGTCAAATATGAAAGCAAAATGTTTGTAAACCAAATACTGTCTTCAATCAGTAATATAAACACACTGCAGGTTTGCACCAAACAATACCCGAGAGATTTGGGAAGAAAGCCCTTTGGCTCATTTGATTCCAATTTTCCAAAACAACATCAAGTTGTTTCTTAATTAAGTTTGGGGTCCTGATTCACTTCAGTCATTAGTTACCTTCCATGAAGAAAAATACTTCCTGGTGTGAACAACATTATTCATTTTGAGAAAGGATGAGAGGAATAGCACTTCTAGTCCTCTACAAAACATTCAGCTACTTTCACAAACACCTACTTTTGAGGAAAGGACAGGGACATTTAATTCAAAGCATTTATTACATAGTGTGACATAAAATAATGCACAGATAATATTCCTGTGTTGCCCGTTCTCTCCAGAGTCTATTGATGAATTTAAACCATGTTTACTTTCAAAACGGTCATAACTGATCCATTGTTATTCAGCTCTTTTCAGTCTAAAGTCTGAGTTTGTGAGATACAAATGATTCACTGCTACAACTCAGCCCCACAAAGGAAACCTCTTATCTTCTAATGAGAACATAAGGTGCAAGCTTCTGGAGATATTTTTGTGTTGGGAGGAGGATAAAGAGCAATGAAGCCAGTAGAGCAGAGTTTAGACCCATTCCATTGTCCATCTGTGAAGGAGTGTGTGTATTTATGGTCAGCAAGGAATAGGATTGTGCTTCATATGATCAGTGCTACGATCAAAAACCCTGCTGCCTGCTTACCATTTTGGGTTCATTTTGACAAATGCTCACTGGTGTAAGGTACCAGGGCTCTCACTGATAAGCCAATGTCCTCATTATTCTATTTGAAGGGACTATTCACAAATCCAGCTCATTCAGAACTCTGCCGCCCACACACTGACCCGGACCAAACTCTGTACCCGTCTCACCAGTTCTGACCAGGCTCCACTGGCTCCCCCTCACTGAACGGATCGACTTCAAGATCCTCACTCGTGTTCAAATTCATTCGCTCCCTGGCACCTCCCTATCTCTCCGACCTCCTCACTCCCCAATCCACCACCCGGCACCTCCGCTCGACTGGCACCGGCCTCCTGCTCGTCCCTCGCACCCTCCACCCCACCATTAGAGGTTGTGCTTTCAGCCACTGCGCCCCAAAACTCTGGAACACTCTCCCTCAATCCCTTCGCCTTGACCTCTCTCTCACCTCTTTCAAGTCCTGCCTGAAATCTTTCCTGTTCGACCATGTTTACGGCCACCTCCCTCCTCCCCCTGCTCGGAGTCAGGCTCCGCCACTTTTAAGCGCTCTGAGACACTACCCTGAGTGGAGGGCATTGTTATTGTTATGTCTAAGTATGAATAAGTGCAAGTTGTTGTTGCCTTGGGATGTCCTTCCGACATGAAAGGCGGAAATACAATTGCAATTTTGTTCTTTTTGTTGTTGTTATGTCTAATTATGAATTCCTCTCAAACTATCACCACAAGAAATATGTGAATAAGGACAGGGCTAGGCTTCATGGTTTCCAAGGAGATACAATATCCAGGTTTGTATATGAATATTGCATTGACCATTTGGGAAGAACACCAACTTCTGAATATCAAGAGATTTTGTGGCACTTATCCTTTAAACCCTGTGTTCAATACTCATTTACAACAACAACAACAACAACAACAAAATTACATTTATAGAGCGCCTTTCACGTCTGGAGGACATCCCAAAGCACTGAACAGTCAGGTGTTGGGGCCCGAGCTCGGGGGAGTCGTGATTTAGGGGTGAGGGAAGGCAGAGAGGTGGGAGGGCCATCAAAGTCACGATCGAAAAGAAGAGTCTTGAGACCGGCCTTGAAGGAGGCAGGGGAGGAAGCGATGGAGTTTCAGAGTGTGGGGACAGAGAGGCTGAAAGCCCGGCCACCGATGGTAGGGAGGGTCAGGCGGGAGACATGGAGAAGATCGGAGCCCGCTGAGCAGAGGGAGCGGGCAGGTTGGTAGGGAGTCAGCAGATCAGAGAGGTAGGAGGGGGCAAGGCCATGGATGGCCTTGAAAGTAAGGACGAGGATCTTGAACTTGATCCTCTGGAGGATGGGGAGCCAGTGGAGCTCGGGCGATGGTGGAAGTGATGGGGTCGCGGAGCCTGGTGCGCGAGAGTATACGAACTGCAGAGTTTTGGATGATCTGCAGCTTGTGAAGGGAAGAGTTGGGAAGGCCGATGAGGAGGGAGTTTCCATAATCAAGCCTTGATGTGACGAATGCGTGGGTGAGGGTATTTAGTTTTAAAAGTGAAAGAGCAGGAAACAAGGATTAAGGAGCTAATAAAACACAGGCTAGATGGGCCAATGGTCCTGTGCTGAAATATCTATTTGTCCCCAAATCACCCATCAGTTTCAAAAAGTGGGAGGAAGTAAATGTACATGGTTCAGAATTTTCATTACATAGGAACTGTTCATGCATGTGTTTTGGCAATGAAAAAATACAAAAAATACAGATGTCAACAATGTGATAAGGCACTATATTAAATGCAAGGATTATTTATTATGATTAGATTTATGTCTTGTGTACATTCAGGTGCACACATTATCACTATACAATTATCGTTTTGACATTTTATTCTACAAATTGACATTAGATGAATACTGCCACTTGTTTAATGTGAATTAAATGTTCTTATATTAAGAGTGGCACTTTATTTTAATAATAATCTTTCCATTTTTATACAGCACCTTATCACATAGTTGAGACATTTCAAAGCACTTGTCAGGATACACACTGTAAAGTGGTCGACTGTGTGTTTTGTGGTCGAAAGTTATCACCAACTCCAAGGTACTCAGTCAATTGAACAACAGACTTAGGACCAGAAGGTTCTGGATTTGAATCACAGTGGGACTTTTTAGTCCTTCAATATTTTGAGATATTGAGAACATTTGTCCTGCTCACATTAAACATGTTGACCTCAAGATCACAAAAGATTTACAGAATCTTTTAGTCAGTTATTTGGCTTCAGGACTTTGTACCCATCCCGCAGCAGGTCTCTCCATGCTTTGAGCAACTGGGCATTTGCTGAACATTTTGCAGTCAGATCATCCACTTGAGCTGAAAGAGTTGAGGTGGTGTCCCAGATTTTTGCTAAATACAAGGCCATCTGAAATGTAAACAAAGAGGTTAACATAACAATCTAAAGGTGTAGTAATAGGAAAAGGTCATTCAGACCATCAACCTCTACTTATAATAATCTTTGCATTTGATGTAGCGCCTTATCATGTCATCAAAGAGTTTCAAAGCGCTTCACAAGATATTCATTAAAGTGGATCGACTAGAAATATGTATTTTGTGGATGAAAATTGTCGGACTGCCATGTGGGGAGTCATCTCTGGGGGATTTTTGCCAGGAATCACGAACAATCACCGAATAATGTCCAGGTGAATGTCACCATGGTGACCATTGCCAGGTTCCCCGACTGTCACCATCCTACCATTCAGAACCATGTGCTCTCCCAGTCCGTGAGCCGATCACCCTCGTCCTCACCTGCTTCTACATCCCTCAGAGGATCGAGTTCAAGGTCCTCATCCTCACTTTTAAAACCCTCCATGGTTGTGCTCCTATCTACCTCTGCAACCTGCTAAAGCTTTGCCAACTTGCCACTCGGCAGGCCTGCTCCATGTCCCCCTCTCTGCTTGCTCCACTGTCTGATGTCAGTCCTTCAGCCTTTCTGCCTCTATCCTCTGGATCTCCATCCCAGAATCTCTCCTCCTCACCTGTTTCCTTGCCTTCTTAAAGGTCGGTCCCAAGACCTTCCTCTTTGACCGTGCCTTCAGTCATCTTTGGCTCCAAACCCCTGCTGATTCCAAACCCTTGACTGTCCAGTGCCTTGGGACGTCCTCCTGATGTGAAAAGCATTATATTAAGTTACATTAAGCAACTTATTGTACTTTGTAAACATGAGAAGCAGTTTCAGGGATGGAAAGCGCAATATAAATGCAATCTGTTGTTGCTGTTGTTGACTTATCAAGGTCTTTTCTTAGTGGTGTTGCCCCCACCCCTCCCCACCCGCATGCTGGTCCGGACTCTGGTGCCTGTGCCCCCTGTGCCAATCTGTGGTGCTCACTGTGTTAATCTCTGGTGCCTCCTGTGCCACTCTCTGTTGCCTCCTGGTCTTATACTGGTGCCGTTCTGACCTGGTCGATGAGCTCCTCTACTCTACAGTTGGCTCTTGCTGGCCAACCTGATCGCCCTCGTGATCCTCACCCACGCTCATTCTCCAACCTCCACCGAGGACCCCGGCCAGCGCCTGCCCCACCGCAGGCTGCCCCAGGGGCGGGAAACTCCAGAAAGATTTTCAACTTTTTAACGGAATCATCATCATCTTCAGTAATAAATAACGTTGGTGGGGGGGGGGGGGCAAGTTCGCTCTCCCGCCCACATCTTTAACGGGTATTTGTCTTGGACCAACAGTCATTCAAGACGCCAGCCCCGAGTCACGTGCAACCGCACCGCTGGCTCATTTCAACACTGAAACGTTTATTCTAATAAAAAACGGTGCACTTGATATCCAGCCTTTAGCTTTGCCTCAAAGCGCTTCACTGGATTGCATATTTTGTAGGCGGCTGCTTTGTGCACTGCAAAGTCAGCATCCAGCTTTAACGGGGCTGGCGGGGGCTCGGGGGGGGGCGGGCGGGCGGGGGCCCGGGGGGGGGGGGGGGCTGTCGGGCAGGACACCGAGAGAAACCCTCTCCTCTTTTCAAGTTATGCCACTGGATCTTGAGGAGTCCTGTAGCTCAGTGGTTAGAGCACTCGCTTTGCAAGTGAGAGACCCGAGTTCAATTCCCGGCAGAGGGTGAAACCTTGGGCAAGTTTCCTTACTCCACACAGAGCCTAATAATAATCCCTCCAAAAAACAAAAAGCAATAATAAAAAATAAATTGGTCATTTTCAATCTACGACTGTTTGTGGGACAGCGCTGTGCGCAATCGGCTGCCGCGTTCGCCCACAAATATACAGTCAATTCACTTTGCAGTGTGTTCTGTGAAGCGCTTTGGGACGTCCTCCCGACGTGAAAAGCGCTATATCAAATGCAAGGATTATTATTATCTCATAACGTCCACCGGAATAGGTGGGCGCAGAGGGTGGCCCCCTGGCCGGCCTTCAACAGGGCACAGAGCTCCCCCTGGGACACAGCTCCCTGTGTAAGGCACAGAGCATGACCAGCCCTGGGTGGGGGGGGGGGGGGGAGGGGCGTGAACCAGGCGCTGACTCCACCGCAGACAGCAACGTCATCGCCACCTGTGGCGAGTGACGCGGAGGAGGAGGCGGAGCCCAGAGCCCAGAGGGGCGCGCGTGCGCAGCAGCGATAAGCGTGGGACGGGACGGCAATGCCCGGCCTGGAGTGCGCGCGCAGCGCAGGGCGCCCACCGAGTCAACGGTTGGAGTGGTAGCGGGGCGGGGCGGGGGGAGAGTGCGCAGGCGCACAGCGGCCGCGGGCAGTGTGCTCACCCCGGGGCCTGCGCCATGTTGTCTCCTGGCTGCAGCCTCTCCGCGAGAGGTAAGTGTCACCTCCTTTACTTTTTAATGAGAGAGACCGTTCACCGGGTCCGGGCCTCAGCTTCACCCTCCCGCCTCCCTCCTAACCCCCAATAACAGCCCCGGCTCCGCTGCCCGGGCCCCGCGGTTGGTCACCTGACCGCAGGGGCTTTGCTCGCAATTAAACTCCCCGTTTTATAGCCTGAAGTAGCCCAAAGTAGCCCAATTACTGTGTTGTTTCCCATGGGGCGGGAGCGGGCGGGCGGGCGGGCGGGGAACGGGAGGGGGGGGAGGAACAAAATGTTTGTCGGGTTTAAATTTAAAACATAACAAAGTTAGGCTCCCATCCAAAGCTGATGCTCCTCCCGCACTGTGTGCCAACAAAACCCCTGAACCCGCCCGCGGCAGAATCGGGGGCAAAGTTCACGGGCGCGATGTGGGTCAGAGGTGAGTCTGTGGGGCAAACGCGACGTGTCATCTTCACCGCAAGACTTCACTGTCAGACGAGGCACTGGCAGGTGAGTAACATCGAGAGCCACGGACAGATTCTCAGCAGTTTTATGGTTTAACATCGAGACACGGCACACAGTGAAATGAATATGTGCATCGCCTTAAACTTTGTATTGTGCATTGTTCGTTTGCTTGGGCCCTGGAATATCATCTGCCCCGAGTCCAGGACTCCAGACTGCAAGGTGTCGGTCAGACGGTCACATTGCAAGGGGAAGAGGAGACGTGTTTGTTTGCAGAGGTTTTTTTTTAAACCACTTGATTTTGTGGCAGATTGTGTTTGGACTTGAAACCTGGTTTAAAAAACAAATGAAACCGTTTGAGTGTCATTTTTAGACAAGAGCCCGTCTGTTTTTTGGGGTCCAGCAATGGGATCGCCATGGTTTGCTGCCGTCCTGAAAATAAAACCACCGAGTTTGTCAAGATATTAAACAATTAAACAATTAGTTTCAATATATATGATTATCTTGATGTTTACGAGTTGTTTATTAATACATTAAAATAATCTGATTATCGAGAACCAACGAGCAAAAAAATATAGTAGTATGTCAATGACCTAAAAAATTGAATCATAGATATGATCGAAGGAAACAGTATATTTGATCCATTCAGTTAAACAGGTCTCTATCTCCACGTGAATCATATTCTCCAGCTTGCACCCACATGCTTGACATGCATCTGGTTACCTTTTAAAATCATTTAGAGAATGAGAATGTTTCAGGAAATAATGAGGGTAAATTTCTTCTTGCTACTACTTGCCGCAACATTGCTGATGTTCTCATATTATGGCATTTTCACATTATAAACTCCTATCCTCAATAAAGGTGTTAATAATAAAGGCAATAATAGTAATCATCATCATAATAAAGAACAAATTACAAATGTGCTTTCCTTTGCAGCACACCGGTGTCTACATTCTTTGCGACTAGTACGAAAGGAATCTCTTCCTTCTCTGGGGTACACGAGAAGATGGATTTCCTCCTCATCGGTAAATTCCAGTCTCACTACACACTACACAGTGCATCCTCGGGAGAAAGATTCACGATGGGAAGGTAATGATTTTGTTTAACATATCAACACGAAATATGGCTGAAAAATGTTTTTGTTGATGATTCAGTAGTTTTAGTGGTAGAATATTGATCTGAGTCACAATCTTAGGCTGTGTTTAAATATGGATATTCCAAACAAACATGTTGACCAGTTCTTGTTAGTATTGCTGGATTGATTCGGGTGTGGAAATCGATACATTCATATCTTGTTTTTTTTGGCAAGAAGAAACAGTTCTTGTTTTGTCAATTATTTGCAAATTGTTGACTATAAAGAAGTCTGTGGCACATGTTCAGATATTAATATATAATAATAATCCTTGCATTTGATATAGCACCTTTCACGTCTTCTCGATGTCTCAAAAAGCTTCACAGAATATACTGTAAAGTAAATTAACTGTATATTCGTGGGCGAAGCGCGACAGCCAATTGCGCACAGCAATGTCCCACAAACAGTCGTGGATTAAGTGACCAATTTTTTTCTTGAGGGATTATTATCAGGCATAAGGAAACTTGCCCAAGTTTCAATCTGCTGGGAATCGAACCCAGGTTTCTCGCTTGTGAGGCGAGTGCTCTAACCACTGAGCTACAGATAAGGGAATGGTTTGGATGGGATGTCAGTATGTATTGATAGGACATTAAAAGCCCAGTTTTTAGAATTTTTAAAAAGATTTTAGAATCCTGTTTCTATGTGTACAATAATGACGTAACTGAAAATAGCCATTTAAATTCATCATTTATGCAAAAGGATCTGATTAAAATAGATTTTTTTTTTTGCTCAATTGTTTATCTAAAGCACACAGGAGAACACCTCAATGCTTACGAAACCAAACATCTTGAGCATTGTGTTTGTTTGGAATGGAGTGCACGCACTCTCCTCAGAGGGGTGCAACACTTGCTTAACTAATATTGAATAAGGCATTGCAATTTGGAAGAAATCAAGGCTTTGGGAGTCCACAGTGTGCTTTGGGTTAGTGCTAGAGTTTAACCTGTTAAGACTGTGCTGCCAGTCATTTCGGAAAAATGGTAAGCTTCCTGCTACTTGTCCTTGTAGGACCACCCTACAGTTGCAGGGTTATCTGGAGCTCCGAAGGAAGCTCCGGTGGGTAATAATTTCATCAAAAAAAATTGGTCAATCCACAACTGTATGTGGGACACTGCTGTGCGCAATTGGCTGCCGTGTTTCACCCACAAAATATTCAGTCAATTCACTTTGCAGTATATTCTGGTGATAGTGTGGGAAACAGAACATTGCAATAGGAAATGTTCTCTTGAGAATGGGTTGAGCTCTGCTCTGTGCGAGAGATGGATTGATTGCGAGTGGTCAATGCTGATACTGGGTCCCTGAAATAGGAAAGTGAAATTTTTGATATTAAAGTGAAAACCATAAGTATTTGAGCAATCTTTGTGTGTCTGTTTCCTAATTTAAGAAAATGCACAATAGGTAGTACTATTTAGGTCATATTTAGAACAGAAAATATGTGCATTATTTTCAATGGCATGCATAGGTCAGATTGTTTATTAATTTGACATTTATGTCCTGCATTAAGGAGTGAACATGGAGCGTTTTACAGATGAAACTGATGTGTTGATAGTGGGTGGAGGTCCTGCAGGTCTGTCTGCAGCCATTCGTCTGAAACAGCTGGCAAATGAACATGACCAGGAACTGCGAGTGTGTTTGGTGGAAAAAGCTTCACAAATTGGTGGGCATATACTTTCTGGGGCCTGCCTAGAACCAAAAGCTCTAAATGAGCTCTTTCCAGACTGGAAGGAGAGAGGGGTAAGGAAGTCATTTTATGGCATTTTATGTTTATTTTATGGTCTGTTTTTGATATTAAAATGAAAACCATAAGTAGTTGAGCAAAATTTACATTTTGGAGGCATTGTTTAATGCAGTGATGTTATACAGTACTCTTGTCTTCTATGCAAGCAGACGTTCAAGCAACACACTGATACTGAACTATTCTGACAGTCACTTAAAAGAGGTAGAAACCAAATAAACATTCATTTAAACATCACACAAAGTCATCATTGAAGTTTAACTGATAGCTATTTAGTTGCTCATAAAAGCCTACATTGTTAAAACTAGAATATTATTTACATTAAAGACTGACACTTTACATAAATAATAGTTATGCACTGAATAATAGTTATACATTTTTTAAAAGGTTATTACAAAAATTCTAATTATTTGTAATTTTAAGCAGTTAAAAGTTTTAGAATTTTGTCTCAAGGAAATGCTAAAAGCTACAGTTTACAACAGTGAGGTTTGTTTGTTTCAGGGCTTTATAAAGCAATTGAAAACAAATCTCATATACAAGTACAAATAATAATCATTACATTTAGCATAGCACTTTTCACATCATGAGGCCATCTCAAAGCTCTTCACAGGATTTTACTGTAAAGTGTAAGTGACTGCATAGTTGGCAGTTGAATATGACAGCTCATTTGCACACAGCAATATTCCCCAAACACCCATAAAGTGAGTGACCAATTTTATCTGAGGGATTAATTGTTGGCCAGGGAGATTACAGTCATGGGATCTTTCAAGTCCACCTGAACAGGCGGATGGGACTTCGACTTCATCTTTACACGATGTCTCATACAAACGATTCTACTTCTAATAATGCAGCACTCTCACAGCACTCTATTGCATTCCCAGTCTATATATATTGAGGTTAAATTCCCAACATGGGACTTGAATCCACAACCTGACCCAGAGGCTGCAGTGCTACCAACTGAACCAGACTGATCCCCATTGAGGAGAAATCAGTGTAGTAAATTAACATTTTGTTTGAGACACTCAGGCAGAGACTGGACATCACTAACATTTTTTAAAACTAAATTATCAGCATCTATTCTTCAATTCAAGAAAATATACAGTCAATTCACTTTACAATATATTCTGTGAAGTGATTTGAGACATCTCGATGACTTTCAAATGCAAGGATTATTATTATATGAAATGAGAGGATTATTTCATACTTACCCTAACCAAACTCCGTACCCCCATCTCACCAGTTCTGGCCAGGATCTACTGGCTCCTCATCAACAAACCGATCGACTTCAAGATCCTCACACTCATTTTAAAATCTATTCACTCTCTGGCACCATCTTACTTCTCCGACTTCCTCACACCCCAATCCACCATGCGGTGCCTCCGCTCGACTGGCACCGGCTCCTACTTGTCCCTCTCAGCCTCCACTCCACCATTGGAGGTTGAGCTTTCAGCCACTATGCCCCGAAGTCAGGATCTGCCACTGTTAAGCGCTCTGAGACACTACCCTGAGTGGAGGGCACTATATAAGTGCAAGTTGTTGTTATTGTTAATTGCTAAAGGGCGTTAGAGTGTTTTCTGTGCTTGACAGCAGTGAGTGAATCAAAGAGTTAAATTTTTTACACGTGAATAGCACCTTTCATGTAAAAAAATAGTAAAGTGCTTTACAAAATAAGACTGTAAAAAAAATTAAATAAGTGTTGTTACCCCACAGCTAATCTATGTTAGCAATGTTGTAGACACATTGGAGTGTTGACGATGGAGTGTAATTCAGGATAATCGTGAGAAAAGAACATGCTTGAAAAAGCTGCAGGAAGTGGGGGAATCCCTTAACATCTACCACAAGGAATCACAAGGGAGCAGGGACCTAAATTAACAACTCAATGAAAAATATGATCTGGAAATGAATAATAAACTTGTGTTTAGTACAGAATGTTATACAGGCAAATACAACAGCCAACTTGTGACAGCAGCATTCCACAAACAGCAATTAGAGTAGTCTTCAAATTAATTTAAATTAAGGTGTTTGAGGAGTTGCAAATTACAGTATAGCACTTCAGAATACTGGTGTCAAATTGCTCAGCAGATTTTTACTAATAAATTGTGCATTTGTTTTACAAATCTAACAAGCTCTTTTGTTTTTGAATATAGTTTTATGTAATCAATTGTATTTCTGGGTAACAGGCTCCACTCCACACTCTAGTGAAAGAAGACGTCTTTGGTATTTTAACAAAGAAATACAGAATTCCTGTTCCAATGCTACCAGGTAAACTGAATATATTTTGTTGCTTGTACGACTTTTAGATCAAGGTTATGGTGCAGTGTTCTTGTTCCATTCTGCACTTACTGATTTCCAAACCAAACTGCTGAGAGTGCCACATATTCTTGAAAAATTCCTTTGTCTCAAATGGAGTGAGCATTCTCTCCTCAGAAGGACACACCCTGCTCATCCAATCTAGCAAAGTATTGGCCCCAGGTTGGCAAGATCCAAAGAACTCAAAATGTGTGTTGGGATACTGCTAGAGGTAAACATGGTAAAAACACATTGCTGACAGTGTGTGCAAGCTTCCTGTTGTGTGTCTAGTTCGGATCACCCATTAGCGTTTTGTTTGCAGTGTTAGAGAGCCGAGTGGAGAGTATTCCTTACCATAGTAACATACCAGAGAATACAGATAGGATTTTAGAATTTGCACTTCATCAACATCAGTGTTGTCCCTTTTATAGCTGATACTAATTCAGATCAGAAATGCATTCGGGACTTAAACTCAGATTACGGAGTTGGTTCCAATATAAATGGTTCGCCTCATCCCAGGCATAATTTTATAATGTCCAGTAACGTGTTGGCCTGCCCTTTCACTGCTCGTGCAAAATGATTGCTGCAAGTGGTGCCCCAGGCATTCGTTCGACTCACAGGAGATGGATAGAGTGGTAGCAAAGAGATTTTAGCTAACTGGCGTGAGTGGTTTCTCATTGAATTGACAGGAGTCTTACAGCCAGTGCTTTGTTTAACCTAATGAAAATAAAACTAATGACAATGTCATTATAATCTAATATAATTATAATATAATTATAATCTAGAATTAATCTGTTCCGAGTCGCACTCAATTCTATGGATTTTAAAAAAGGCAAAGAGAAAATGTACCAGAGAACCCCGTTCCCCTCCCCCCCTTCATATAGCATTGCCTCGCTTAATAGAGCTTGTATCCTGTGGCCCCATGGACTGGAAGCACGATCCTGTAGTGTGGTGGTTACAGCACTCATCTCGCAAGCGAGAGGACTGGGTTCGATTCCCAGGCAGGGTGAAACCTTAAGCAAGTTTCTTAACTCCACACGCTTCTGTTTACCTAGCAGTAAGTAGGAACCGGTTATTAGTCGATTGGTGGATTGTTTTTCCGGAGGTAATAATCCTTTCAAAAAATATGTGTGTATATATATATATATACATACATGTTTGGTCACTCAATCTAAGATTGTTTGTGGGACAACAACAACAACTTGAATTTATATAGCGCCCTTCATGCTGGCCAGCGTCTCAGAGCGCTTCACAGTAACGGATCCCAGGGATGAGCCAGGGGGAGGGGGAGGAAGGTGACCAAAGGTGCGGTCAAAAAGAAACGTCTTCAGCCGAGACCTGAAAATAGGAAGAGAGGGGGCGAGGCGAAGGGAATGAGGAAAGGACCTGCTGTGCGCAATTGGCTGCTGCGTTTTGCCCAACAAAAAATACAGTCAATTCACTTTACAGTACATTCTGTGAAGCGCTTTGAGACGTCTCAACGATGTGATACAGTGCTATATCAAATGTAATGATTATTATTACGCCCTGCTATCATTGCTAATTAGCTAGCTGGGGTTCTTCTGCGCTTTGCAAAACAGCTGCAAATGTCATTTCCAGTAACAGCTGTTATTAGGAGATTGTAGATCTCTGTTAAAACATACTTAGATCAGACACTCAATAACATATTTTCTTTGGTTCTCTTTCTCAAGTGTGCTAAGAGGGCAGGTAGGTCACCTGCTCAGTATTGCTAGGAATTTAGCTGCTGGGAGTGTTTTTTCCACCTGTAGTTTTCTGTTCTTTCCTTTCTTTTTAGTGCTTTGTGTGACTGATTTCTAGTTTACTGTATTGAGTGTTGGTCATGGTTGTAAATCCGCATCCTATCATTATCATGTATAGCAAGGTCCAACACACTACGCCGATCAGATTACGTTGTCTAGTTTGTCCCCAGCTTCTGTTTACCATGAGGTAGTTTAGTGGAACAAGGTCATGTTGTTGTGTAACCTGGAGTGTATGCTTTCTCTGGTTCTCTGCAGGTCTTCCCATGAACAATCATGGAAATTACATTGTGCGTTTGGGTCATTTTGTGAGATGGTTGGGAGAGCAAGCAGAGCAACTCGGTGTGGAATTGTACTCGGGCTATGCAGCATCGGAGGTAAAATAATACCACATTGGCTCATTGCAACATGCTTCATTAAAGCACAGATTTGCTTATAACACAATTGCACTGTGGCCCCTATTCACTACCTCACAACCCCCCACCCCCCCTCCCGGTTTACCAACTGGCTATTCAATCTTAAATGAACAAACTACAGTACATTTGATTGAGAAGTCAGCCATTTTACCTTCTCGTACAAAAAGAGCCAATTTCTTTCATCAGGTCACCGCCAAGGTCATTTCCTGCGTTGCACATGTGCAGAAAACTAGATGTTGCGTTTGCGGTGATCCGGAAATCAGACAGTTTGTTTTTTTAGTGTAGGAACTGCCAGTGTACTGGGTGATAGTCCCTGTGCAGCATCATGGATGCATGGTTAAACCTACTGTCAAACTCCCTATAATACAGGTTGGGATTTTATGGTTTTCAAATTGTAATGGGGCTTCACTGCATTTCAGCTTTTCTTCTTTTGCATTACTTTTTATGGTGTTTCCCATCAGACACCAAATAATCAAACCACAGAATTTTCAAGTGTATTCTCAGAAGTGCAGTTGTTCCAATAACAAACTGAAGTCTCATCTACCTGTTCCAGTGGGGCTTGAAGATCCCATGGCACTGTTCTGAAAGAGAAGGGAGTTTCTCCCAGTGCTCTAGCCGACAATCCCCCAGATAATATTGGTTATTCTTTAATGGCTGTTTGTGGGATGTAACTGTATGCAAATTGGCTGCTGTGTTTGCCTACAAAATACTCGTGACCACATTTTACAGTAAATGCTGTGCAGCTTTTGAGACGGCCACTTGATGTAAAAGTTACTATATCAAATGCAAGGATCATTATTGTTATTTTTAACAATTTCAAATGTACATTTTTATTTTCAAAAGGCAGTGCATATTGTATGAAATGGACATCTGTGTTCTGGTGGTTGAAATAATAACTTTTTATAATTTTCCAGGTATTGTTCCACAAAGATGGGAGTGTTAAAGGAATTGCCACCAACGATGTTGGTATTCATAAAGATGGATCACCAAAGGTGAAACAGTTGTTTTGATTTATGTTGATTTATGTTCATTGTGTTGATATATCGTGGGGTCATGGAGTGTCATACTTTCAATCCACCTATAGTGACATAGATTTCTTTCATTAAGTTTTAGGTTTGTTTTCAAGTGACCCATCTGTACTCTGAACTGCTTTCTTTTTGAAGGAAAATTGTAAACTAATCCTTAATCTCAGTCAAGTGAACTAGGTATCGCTTTACAGCCTGTGAAATGTCCGTGTTTTTCTGGCAATTCATTATGTGAAAATTTATGTTGGCAATTTTAGTGAATGACATATTTTAAAGCTACAAAGAGAAACTTAAAATCCCAGTGTAATCATAGTAATCCTTTAGAATTTTAAAGGCCTTAAAAGCATGGTTGAAGAGATACATTTTGAAAGATGCTTTGAATAAGGTGAGGGAGTGAATGAATCAGGGATTCTGGGATGGCATTCCAAAAAGCGTGAATCCACCATTAAGGAAATGAAATTTAACATGGTCATGGTCTTGGAAACAATTAGAATAAGTTTATTGTGTTTAAGTACAAATGCCATGCTCCCTATATAAAAAAGTAGCATCTTTTTTTACAGGGAGAGAGCGCTGCATTATTTCCATTGCAATGCTGCCACACACAATGTAATGTTTTATGAGCTTTCAATCCATCATCTTTTTGCAAACCTTTTTGTTTCAGTCCAAATATTCTTTTCACAAAAATGGAGCCTTTGTAAACTGAAAATAAGCCTAGCAAATGTTCTGCAATGAAATGTCAACTGCTTCGGCATTGCTTGCAGGTGTAGTCAACGTTCAACCTTCTAGTTTCTAGTCGCTCCTTTGTTCGTCAAGAACCGCTTCCTGGTATCAGGATTTAGAAGCGAGCTGTGTTCATTCGGCATAGCAATGCACAAAGTACTTTTAGTTGAACTGTGAATTTAAAGCAAAAACTAAAAACAAGATTACATTAGCAACACCAAATATTTAGCCAATATTTGCCTAGGTTTAAGAGCAACTTGTAAAAAAGCATTATTTTATTACATGCAAATGTAAATGAGATAAATTAAAGTCCATCTTCTACCCATGGATAAGTGAAGTATGTTGATAAACTGTGGCAATGTCAATGTAATTTTACAGGGAATTAAAATATTTAGGACATTGGGGTAATTGCAGAATTTTTTCCCTTGGCTGTGGGGTATTTTTGAACCAGGGGGCAATCCTGGTAGCGAGGGAGAAGCATTCACTTTACTGCATCCACTTGTGACACTTACCTATGATAAACATTGAGTATCTCTACGTTGATATGCAATTTAAATAGTGTACACTGAAAGTGTACTTAAAATACAGGCTTGTAGAACAAATCAAAGCACAAATGTTAGTTGTGTTATTTTGGTATGTGGGTCAAAAATAGTCAGGCCTATAGTATTTAGTTAAAATACTTTTCATTTTAAATGTGCATTTTGTACTTTGAATTTATAAGGTGATTGTTTGGATTAAATATGGTTTTTCAAACATTAAATAACTTTTTTCATGTAGAAGTGTAAAATGTAAGGAACTTCATTCTTCCATTATCGTGTGTTCTACTGAGTGCTTTTCTCCTATTTGGTTCATAAACGGAGTACTCTATATTACTCTGTAAACAACTGGAAACTCTCTGCCCTCTTTTTTGCAAAGAATACATTTGAAAGAGGAATGGAGCTTCATGCGAAAGTCACACTATTTGGTGAAGGTTGCCACGGGCATCTTGCCAAGCAGTTATACAGACAGTTCAATCTAAGAGAGAAATGCGAAACACAGACCTACGCAATAGGATTAAAAGAGGTAAGTGCATGTTGAAATGCCCTTAGCAGCACTGTTGATGTGCCAGTTCAAATCAGTGAAATGTGGATAATCGTTACTACTAGTAACCGCTTGGCACAGGGCTTCTTCAATTAAAGCTGTCCTACGTGTTACAGCTCTGGTTTGCAGGGTTGTTATCAACTGTGTTTGATGAGCCAGACAGATGGTCAATCACCAACACTGCCTGACAGGACTATAGATGAGCTTCGCTTGTTCAGACATGGGTCCTCAGATCAGTTGTTATTGTTGAATGTGGAATAAATATAACAGCTGGGTGCATGCTACTAAGTCGCAACAGCAAGTGAGAGGTCTTGTATCTAATGACTGGATTTCAAATTATGGACAGCAAAGATGCTGATTGTGCTCTCATAAGTCATAACTGGTTTGAGGTGGGCCACACAGAGGCACTATTTGAGCAGATCCTTTCCAGAGAGGACTAGATTTCCAGATGCTTTTGGAGCTATAATTATTCATTAAATATAAAATAATCTCTTAGTCTATTAAAACCATCCTGTCCCTATAATATTGCATTAAGGACCTCTTGCCTAGAACTCCACTAAGCGGATCTAGTATTTTATGTTATAGGGAGGAACTACAAGAGCCAGTCTGGTGATGCCCAATTTCAGATTTCAGTCTCAATATCAATATCTCAATATATAATATAGTACAATATCTATGTAGCATATGGGCAGAATTTGTGCACATTTAGGTTCCACAAATATTTTTTGACCCCAGGAGGAAATCCTTTCTCTTTACATAGAATGTTTTGGGCACTTTGACATCCACCTAAACATTAAATCGGGTCCACTGGTCACACTTTGCCTAAAGAATGGCAACTCTGACAATTCCACTCTTCTAATACCTTACTAGAGCGTCAGCCTGGACTAAGATGAGCTGAATCCCAGCGTGGATGGAACTCGCTTGACCCACTGATGAGAATGTTACCAACTGGACCAAGCTGCTGCTTAATACAATGCATTTATATAGTATTCTGTTTTACTAATCCTGAGTTGCAAGGAAATTCAAACAATATCCATTATGTAGAGCGGGAGTATTTTATAAAGGGGATGAAATAAATTATTCCATGTACCTCATGCAATTTTGTGATCAGTATGAGAAAAACAAACCTCTTTCACAACTCTGCACGGCTATTTTGTAAATATTGGGTAGTGTATTTTGGTTCATGTAGGTCTGGAAATCTTTTCTCCTTTCCCTCCCCCATGCAAACATTTAAGTTAATATTTAATGTTTAAGCTCTAATGTGCTTTTCTGACTTCCATTTTAATGGCAGCTTTGGATTATTGATGAGCAGAAGTGGAAACCCGGCAGAGTGGAACACACTGTGGGCTGGCCTCTGGACAGACAGACATATGGTGGATCATTTCTATATCACCTAAATGAAGGGGAGCCATTGGTGGCATTGGGCTTTGTGGTAAGTATTAATATTTTTCCTAATTTAAAATAACTAGATGTTAGCTGGACTTTGGTTTAATTGCTTACTGAATAAGCTAATTAAAGATGTGAATGAAATTAATTTGTTTCTTTTAAGTAACATTGTAATGTTGTCTGGCAGGAGTAGACCAATCCATTCAACATCCGAAACGATCAATCACAACTCTTACTAACCTTAATTTGCAGAAATTTGTCTGGTTCTTTTTCTTAAGCCCTTTGATATGACTAGTTTGTTGTTTTATCACCCACGATGGTAGTTTGTCCATGCACACAAACTCGGAGTGATATGGATTGCTTTTTCACAGTGGCTGTCAGAGCAGAGAGCATAACATTTAAAGGAGAATTGCGTATACATTTGAAGTTGAAGAACATAAATGGAAAGATCAAGGAATTGGAATCAGTTAGCTCTGATGGATGAGCTGGCGTAAATAAGATTTGATGGGCTCAATGGCTCCCTTCAATGCTTTTTAAAATATTTTTAGTCCTCCCACTCTTACAGAAAAAGCGCCATTCTGCACTTTCTCCCTTTGTTCCTTATTTTGAAGCTATGACCGGCAGCACTAATCATTAAAATCTTATAAAAAATTTAAAGTGCGTGTTCCTAAATTGTATCATGTTTCACAAACAAATGTTAACAAATACATTTGTCTTTTTTTATATAGAGGTAAATAACAAGTTCAAAATTAAGTGATTATTTGATACAACTACAACCTGAAGTTTATCATTTTTCTTACAAAATGCAGAAACATTTCTGGGACAAAGTGAAACAGGCAATGATGATTCATAGAAACAAGATAATTGACTTGATATTTCATACACTCAAAAAAAACTTTGTATCTATCTTGTAATTGCATTTTACAGCAGTTTCTTTGAAAGAACAACCATGTTCATCCGTCTTAAAATGCATTTTTTTAATGTGTAATGACTTGAATATATTCTGATGTTTGAGAATTTTGACCCAATTTTAGATTTGGATTTCTTCGTATCCATGTTTAATATTTTGGTGGTGATTATTTGGTTACTGTTTTCTACAGGTAGGTTTGGATTATGCAAATCCATTCCTCAGCCCATTTAGAGAATTCCAGAGGTGGAAGCACCATCCTAGTGTGGCACCAACCTTGGAAGGTGCAAATAGAATTAGCTATGGAGCCCGTGCCCTGAATGAGGGTGGCTATCAGGTATGGTCAGGCATTGTACAATATCTATTGTTTTCAGATTCGCAGTGACTAAACTTCCACTCATGTCATTGGCCATCAGTATTAGCAACTCCTCACAACATTATGTTCTGTAGTGTGATTATATTCAAGTATTTTTGGAGTCTGAACAAAGAATATAAACAGTTTCTGACTTTACTCGCCTTACAGAATAACAGGATTGCTTACCTGCATGAGATTTTCCTGTTGTAATTCTGTCTCATTGAATTGTTATTGACGTTTGGTTGTATGAAGTCAGAGTATATGGTTTATGTTAATATTATCCATTTTCAAGCTGGTAATTGGAGAAAAATTGTTCTACAGTCAATACCGAAACTTTCTTTCCCTGGAGGATTACTGATTGGTTGCAGCCCTGGATTCATGAATGTCCCTAAAATCAAAGGAACTCACACTGCCATGAAGAGTGGAATGCTGGCTGCGGAGACGATCTTTAAGAAACTGAAAGATGGAAATCACAAACCTGTGACTAAGGGTAGGGAGTCCAATACCCTTCTACCCATATTTCAGATTTTTTAAATGAAAATCTTACAGCAGATAGTCTTTAATAATAATAATCCTTGCATTTGATATAGCGCCTTATCACGTCGTTGAGATGTCTTAAAGCCCTTCACAGAATATACTGTAAAGTGAATTGACTGTATATTTTGTGGGTGAAACACAGCAGCCAATTGCGCACCGCAGTGACCCACAAACAGTCATGGATAGAAGTGATCAATTTTTTTTTATATTACCTCCGGAAAAGCGATCCGCCAATCGACTAACAACTTTATTTTATTCTATTCAAATTAAAATTGATTTTCCTTCAGCTGAGTCCATATGCTTTGGCAACTGTCCAATACCTCATCTAATCATATGGGAACTTGAACATGAGTGCCTGCTTTGTGAATATAAATATAAATACCTGCAGTGTTTTTATTTCCCTCCCCCTTTCTAATTGAATCCCTTCATGTCCTGAAGCCCTGACTTGTGCTGGGGTAATGTTCTATGGCTGCCTGATACAGATGTTTTTTTGTTAGCCCACGTGGGAGCTCAGACAACATAAGCATCTAAAGCATATGACCATCTTAAGCATCTCAGGTTCGACCTCCAATTATCCTTCCTCCCCCACATCCAGTCCCTCACCAGCACCGCTTTCTTCCACCTCCGACGCATCGCCTGTCTCCGCCAATATCTCACCCCAAAAGCCGCCGAAACCTTGGTCCATGCCTTTGTCATGGACAAAGCTGGACTATTCAAATGCCCTCCTCGCCAGTCTCCCCTCCCCTACCATCCATAAAATCCAGGTCACCCAGAATTCTGCCGCCCGCATTCTTACTCGTACCAAACTCCGCTCCCCGATTATCCCAGTCCTTGCCAGACTGCACTGGCTGCCTGTCCCAGAGAGGATCAATTTCAAGATCCTCACTCTTGTCTTCAAATCCCTCCACTTCTCTGCACCCCTCTACCTCTCTGATCTCCTCTCTCCTCACAACAGTGCCCCTTGCCTTCACTCCACCTCGTCCCCCGAATCCTCCGCTCCACCATCAGCGGCCGTGCTTTCAGCCACTATGCCACGAGGCTCTGGAACTCCCTTCCTCTCACCCTTCGCCTCGACCCCTCTCCCTATTTTCAGGTCTCGGCTAAAGACTTTCTTTTCGACCGCGCCTTTGGTCACCTTCTTCTCCCTCCCCCTGGCTTAGCCCTGGGATCCGTTACTGTGAAGCGCTCTGAGACGCCGTCTGGCGTGGAGGGCGTTATATAAATCCAATTTGTTGTTGTTAAGCATCCAGCCAAATCGTTCAGGAGCAGCCCAGACAAGGGCACCAAGATGCATTGTAATGCCCCAACAGAAATCAGCTAGAACAGAGACTTTGCAGAGATATTGTGCAAACAGTGTTTTTAATCATTTTAATTGAATTATCAAGTTAATTGCATCAATGAGGTCAACCACAATTTTTTTTATTGTACACACATTTCCAATATCCAGCAGATGCCACAGCCTTATCTAATTAATTCTCCTTTCTTAACCCTACTGCATTTACCTAGTAATCAGTCAATGATGTGGGACATTGCTGTGTGCAAACTGACTGCCACATTCGCCCACAAAACATTCAGTCTCTGCACGTCACTTTGTGAAGGCTTTAGGGCGTCCTCATGACATGAAAGATGCTATACCAAATGTAAGGATTATTATTATTATTATTATCATTAAGGCAGCCCAAAGGAAGTGTGAATTTTCAACAACATTTTGAGTGGATTTTATAAAAAGTTTTCGGTAATGAAATTAAAATAATACTTTAAATATTTCTTCTGAACATAGGACTTCATGTACCAGAGTATGAAGTGGAACTAAGGAATAGCTGGATTTGGAAGGAACTTTATTCCGTGAGGAATATCCGGCCCTCCTGCCATGTGCTGTTTGGTGTTTATGGTGGAATGATTTATACTGGAATATTTTACTGGATATTTAGAGGAATGGAACCCTGGACACTGAAACATAAAGGTCAGGTAATGATGTTCTGTCAGAGAGTCATAGATAGTGAGTTTTAGTAGTTTATGGCTTGGCATTAAACTACACCATTATTCAGTGCTCTGCGATACTACTTTGCGTGAAGGGTGCTGTATAAATGCAAGTTCTTGTCGTTAATGAACAGAATTATTTAGAAACCAAAATGAATGCAGATGCCAGCATTTTCTTTATTGCGATGTGTGTAAGAAAATTTTTAAACTCGCCCACATTTTTCACGTGGATAGGGTTCTGAGATCCCTATAAATGAATTTCCTTAGTTTCAGTACCTTCATTTTTGTCTATTTTAACTATCCTTCTCCCTGTCCTGAAAGATATTGTTCCACTTAAGGAGATTACCTTATGAATTTTTCATATTTGAACTTTTAGCAGAGAGTGTCCGACCTCAAAACTTCCACACTTGCACTTTCCACCATTGGTCATTGATTAGCAATCAGGAGCATAAACTGATTATTCACCTCTCAATTTCTAGGTAAAGGCTGCTCAGGTCCACTATACAACCTTAACCACCTTAGCAGAACAAGGATGTAACCTGTACCTTCTGGTCAATATGGTTTAGTGCTTCCGCAAAGCTGCCAGGAGAAATACGTTTTTATTTCCATAATTTATTCATTTTAAGTTTTTTTTAAAAATATTTCTTCAACATAATTTCTAGGTGACCTGCATCCATGGGACATGGTTGCATAATTCACTAAAATTAAATATCAAAATCAGAAGAGAGAACCGTCATGGTTGGTTTGGGAAATGGAAATGTCACACTGGTGAAGTATGAGATGGAGATTAGCCATTATGGGAAAGTGTAGAGGGAATACTCATTGGTAATGTTGGCAGGAATAGATGTTTTTCATCTTTTTGGACCATTTCAGTGATAGCTAAGTTTTCACAGATAAACAATGGTTCAGTTTAACCTCGTTGGTGCACAATGTTCTACTCACCATTGTTTAATGACCTTTCTGAATTTACCTAGTTTAGGTGTTATGTTAGGTAGCTAACAGACTGCATTTATGGAATGAGATCCTCATCCATCTTTGATGACCAAGTAATATACTCCTATTGCATTATGATGTACAAACTTGTCTAGTGGACTGTTTATCTAAAAACAATGTTCTCCCATTTCAGGTGCTGATCATTCTCAGCTGAAGCCAGCTAAGGACTGTACACCCATTGAGTACCCAAAGCCAGATGGAAAAATCAGCTTTGACCTTTTGTCTTCTGTGGCCCTTAGTGGGACCAATCATGAACATGATCAGCCAGCACACTTGACACTAATGGATGACAATATACCTGTAAGCAGGAACTTGGCTGAGTTTGATGGACCAGAGCAAAGGTTCTGCCCTGCAGGTTGGTTTTATTACTAATCAGATTGTGTTGTCAATTACATTCTTTCAAATATAAGGCATGATCACAAAAATTGCTGTCATATTTTAAATGATTATGGTTCTTAAATTTGAAATATCAAACTATTGTGAATAATACTAACCTTTTTTTGGTGTTTTTGTTTGAAAACTATGTATGGAATTCCATTTAGAGGATGGAAAGAGAACGAGAACAAGTTTGTTGTAAGGAAGTTAATTAACATGTGGAAAGTGTTATTTAATCTGTGACTTTGACATTTCAATTGCCCGTTAAATTCAGCTCCTTCTAATTGATTAGCACTCACTTAAATTGCAGATGTGATTCAGTCTCATGACATCCTGTGTTAGTCAGCCTTGGACTAAGTACTGAAATATGACCCATTCTGATATAACTCTTGTGCAGAATCCACAAACTGTATATTTTGTTAAGCCCCTTCCTTTCCTAAAGTTGGTAACAAGTCATAGTGGCTATTCACTAATGAGCCTGCAAAGTGCTGATTGGGTTTTTCTGAGCTCAGAGACCTTTCCAAATAAAGGGCACTGTATCGTTGCTTATTGTTGCAAGGTTTTGTTGCTTACCCATTAACGAAAAAGAATTGTAGCTTGATGTTGGCCAGAACTTTACCAGATGTGTTCCCCCCCCACCCCCCCACCAGCCCAGGATCTTTGTTTTTTGTGTCACAAACCATTTATAGCCAAGCTAAGTGAATAGTATGACCCACTAGTGAACCTTTGCTTCCCCCCAAAAGAAAATCACAATAAAGTGAGATTAGGAACTCATTGAAGTGGGGTTGGAATTTGCATTTCAGTACCTCAGTGTCAGTTCGTTTTAATGAATGCAAATCAGAACTGGCAAACAGTAGTATTTAGGTTAACCTCCAATCGTCTTGTTTCAGTAGACTAGAGAGAGAATTGTTTTGAATACCTCATAGCCAAAAGGAATTTTCAGAGACTTTTTTTTAAAAGTACTTGTAGAGCCAAAACAAATTCCAAAAAGAATTAAACAAGATTTGCAGTGGGTTTGTGTATTTGTGAGATTTTTCTTTCCCCGTCCCCTTGGCCGTGGCAGACAGAACTTGTGAGGAATTCTAGAGGTGAGCCAACAACCTGCCACTTCCAAGCCATATTCTTTAGAACATGTGCTTTGAAGCTACTTATCAGGTTGGGATTTTATGAACCCCAACTACATTATAACAAGGCTCAACTGCCTTTGCCTTGAGTCTGAGGAATTACCTTGCAAACTTCTCCCTGCACGTTTTATTATTTAACTTCCACTCCCTACTCCCAAGATAATTTGTCACATGAACCATTTCTCCCCATTTTAGGTGTTTATGAGTTTATTCCTTTGGAAGATGACAGTGGAATGAAGTTGCAGATTAACGCTCAGAACTGTGTCCACTGCAAGACCTGTGATATTAAGGATCCCAGCCAGAATATCAACTGGGTTGTTCCAGAAGGAGGCGGAGGGCCAGCTTATAATGGAATGTAAACCACATGCTACAGTATTACTGGTATATATTGCAGCAGAATGTTAACTCATTACAAGCCTTTTACAGGAGTATTAACTGTAAATTTGAAGTTAAATTTGCTTATTTTCTGCAATCGCTTTTTGTAAAACAAATATACCTTTCTTTCTGATCTCACCAGCTTTATATACTGTTCCCTTGGAATTGATTCCTCCAGGAAAATAATTTTTAAAAAAACGTATCCCATGTGTTTAAATAGAACTTTGCCTAACAGCTGCTTTTCAGTCTTTCGATCAGGTGGTATCAGTACTTTGGGACATCCTCCCGATATGAAAGGCACTGTACAAATATAATTTGTTGCTGGTACGATGTGTATCTTAAGAGTTCATATTCAAATGCCACAAAGTGTGGAGACGCAGGCTATGTGAACTTATAATAGGAAAATCTATTTTCAGGAAATGTCAGCAAAGTCATTACACTTAGCGGCAAGCAGAATACCTTCTCCTGGTGCAGTTAAATTGTACCAGTGTTTTATTTTAATTGTGCATATAAAGCTTTTAATATGGTCACATCATCATTACCAAAGTCATTGCCAACAATGTACTTTATAACACTACTTATCAATGCAGAAAATCATTGTAGCATAGGAGAAAGCAAGAATTAAAAAAAAATTAACTGGTTTAAAATAGTTTGAAAATTAATTTCACCATATTGTAGTGAATGAAACTGCTTTGTTCATTTGATTTTAAACAGGAGCTGAGTGTACACTACTGGGTAGTTTATGAAAATCTATTCTTAAAAAAAGAAAGACAGCTGCCTTAAAAATACTTCCAAATTATACTTCAAATGCATTTAATATTGAAGTATAGACTTTTTGAGAATCAGTGGTGCTTATGAAATGTGCTGAGTATCAATCTTGTCAGCAAATCATACCTAGCTATCACAGTGAAACTGGTGTGTACCTTCTACTGTTAGCATTCATACTGCATTATAATTTAACATGAATGTAACAAAATGTGGAATGCATTATCAATGATGTACAAACCAAAATAATCTACAAGCCTCAATCAGGACCGTGAACAGACAAGATATTAGTTACGTTATTTGCTGGTCACAACTTGGGCTGGTGCAGTGCGCATATGTAAAATGTCGCTTTTGGGCCTATTCTGCTGATGATTTATAATTTTGTGGGATGATATTGAACTTTGTAAATATTAACATGTAAATTTTGTTTAAAAAATAAAAATGAAAATACACATCTCTTATTTTTGTGTACATAATTGTTTTGCTTTAAATTATACTTAAACAGGCTCTGGTCAGTACTGCTCTGCCTGAGGGGACAATGGCCACAAAAGACGCAACATCCATTCGTCAGGGTGTCCATTAGAATGTATTCGTCTCTTTTATTCTGAAAGCGACATCATGAAACAATTTTAAGAAAGAAGTAAACCATTTGGCCCAGTGATCCTAGTCTAGCATTTAATAATTAGTAATAATCTTTTAATAATTAAAAAATCTTAATGTCAATGCACTGGGGAAAAGGGAACCAGTGGAGCCTGGCAGAGATGTGGATGATGACCCATGAGGATTGGTACCGGAACATTCTGGATGATCTGGACCTTTTGAAAGACAGGGCTGGGAAGGCCAGCAAGCAAAGCATTGCAGAAATAAAGTCTGGCTGTGATGAAGACATGGATGAGGATTGACTGTGCTGGGTTAAGGCAAAGTTTTACGTGGAAAGTGTTTCTCTTACAGAACACTGGTGATAACCTTGGAGTCCTGTAGCTCAGTGGTTAGAGCACTCGCTTTGCAAGTGAGAGACCTGAGTTCAATTCCAGGCAGAGGGCGAAACCTTACTCCACACAGAGCCTAATAATAATCCAAAACACAAAAAATAATAAATTGGTCATTTTCAATCCATGACTGTTTGTGGGATACTGCAGTGCACAACTCGCCCACAAATATACAGTCAATTCACTTTACAGTATATTCTGTGAAGCGCTTTGGGATGTCTAGAAGACGTGAAAAGTGCTATATCAAATGCAAGGATTATTATTATTATAACTGATGAGTCAGCCTGGCTCATGAGTGGGATTTGAAAGGCCAGATCATCACAGGAGCAGGGATCTTTCCCTCAGCTCCAGTTAACCATAATGGCGAAAGCTCTAATGGATCGATTGGTCGGAGCTGGATAAGCAGCAGGGAAGCTTACCAGAGATTGCTTTCATTGCAAAGCTGTGTGGTTTTAGCTGGTTAAAACCCCGACAACAATACACTAGATTCCCAAGCTTGGTTCTTGCCAATCTGCATGTGATAACTCTGATTAGCAAACATCCCTCGAGGGAGAGAGTGCACTTTCCATTCCAGAAGCAAATTTACACATGCCTCGTGGGATAATAATAATCCTTGCATTTAATATACTGCTTTTCATGTCTTCTAGACGTCTCAAAGCACTTCACAGAATATGCTGTAAAGTGAATTGACCGTATATTTGTGGGCGAAACGCAGCAGCCAATTGCACACAGCAGTGTGCCACAAACAGTCGTGGATTGAAAATGACCAATTTATTATTGTTTTTGGAGGGATTATTATTAAGCGTGTGGAGTAAGGAAACTTGTCCAAGGTTTCTCCCTGCCTGGAATTGAGCCCAAGGCGACTGCTCTAACCACTGAGCTACAGGACTCCACATGGATCTGTTTGGTTTGAATACTCTTTAGCATAATGGATTTCCACAATTGTCGACATTTAGCTAACCAAAAAAAACTTACCAAGTATATCTCCCTTTAATATTTAAAGTCACATGTACAGAAGCTACAACTAACCAGCTTCTGTTGAGTACAAGAATAAAGAGACTTGTTTTTTTTCTATAAGACCATGTGAAGTAGTTCCATCAAATAATTACCTTTAAATGAAGCATTTGAAAGATCTAGTCCGTGTCAAAAAACCCAAAGCCAGAAATACAGAAAAAAATCTCAAATATTTTATTGAGAAAACGAGCCATTTCGTTTTGTAGTTCATTGTGATATCGTGCACATGTAGCAACATTACATGCTCATTAGATTGCCAAACAATATAGGGGGTTGTTTGTACCATCAACATTAAATATTTTCCGCTTTAATTTCACACAGCAAACAAGATATTAGACTGGGGGGCAAAACACAAATCTTAACGCAGCCCAACCAGTGGTTCACTGTATTTAAGGAGGCTTACATTTGATTGGCCTGACAGCAATTTGTCAACGGCACCTTTCAGTTGTGAGAAATGAATAAGAAAATTGTTGGTGAATACAGTAGAATATGCCTGACGTGCAAGGCATACTATATTTTTTTAACACTGAAACTTGGAAGTGATTCTTCTACACGAAAACATTCTAGGAAATCATTTACAGAAGTAACAATCTCTTCAGAGACAGACAAAAAACATCGATGCATGTACAGGATACTAACCAAAGAGTTACATAAACATATTAGCATATGTCACAGGGAACTGCTGAACAACTTTTGTTTCTGTCATGCTGAATTAGATAAGGCTTGAAGTTTTCCAAGTCTGTAGCTAACTCTTCTCAGTTAAGATGAAACATTTGCTCAACTATACACTGGTCTGCTCCATGTCAGGCCTTAAGTCTTTCTGACACCACCTTCTGGAACTCCATCCCAGAATCACTTTACCTCACCCATCTCCCTTACCTCCTTCAAGACCTTCCTGTTTGATTGTTAATTCGATCATCCTCCCTTGCCCTCCAGCCTTCCCAATTCCAATCCCCAGCTCAGGGGCAAACCCTTGACTGCCCAACACCTTGGGACATCCTCCCAACATGAAAGTGCTATATAAATGTAATTTGTTGTTGTATTTACCAACAATTTTCTCACTTATTCCCATACAATACTGTATCAGCACACTTTTTCCCCTCCAATTGATTTAGTTTTGTCTAGGTCATAAACTGGCTGCAAAAACAAATTCACACGTTTTCTGAGCATCAAGACTTTAAAAAAAACATTTACGTTAACCACACAACGGCTCATTGGAAATGCGAGTCCAGACCACAATCATCAGGCGAACATTTTTGCATAAACTGCCCTCTCTTTCTCCTTCTCTTGCTTTATCTTCTGCTTCACTCGGAGTATTTCACTGTTTATGGCTAGGAATATGCGAAGGAGAAAAAAAATGTTTTCAGTTAAGGAGTTGTCCCAAAACATTTTGTATGTGATATTGAAAGGAAGTTTGTTCTTGTAAAGATTGTAGCATACCTTTGTCTTCTGGTGCAACTTCTTGGGCTTTCTTAAGATCAGCCTATTTCAAAACAAGATGACATAAATAATAATCTTTCCAATCGATAAAGCATCCATAATGCCAAAACATTTTAAGGAGCTTTACAGAAAATTGTTGTCTAGTGTATTTACACGTACAGTTAATTTGCACAGTGTCCCACAAACTGCCAGGAAGCAAATGACCAATTTTATCTGTAGGATTGTTGGCCAGTGTACCTTCTAGTGTAACAGATTCTTTAACATCCGCCTGAACTGGCAATGGGACCTTGGATAATGTCTCTTCCAAAGGATGACGCCTCCAATAATGCAACCATTGCCTCAGTACTATACTGGAATGTCAGTCCAGACTATGAGCTCAAAGGTCCTGAAGAGGACATTCAAAATATTTGAATGATAGGAAAAAAAAGGTATTCAGTATTCTCTACTAAACAAGAGTGATCCGCTGCTCACTTTGCTCAGCGAGAATCAGTGTGCTTCATGTCCCCTGCCCTATCCACCTGACCTCGGCTAGTGGGGCTTTCATCAATTCTACCCCACGTCTCTCGAACTCCATCTGAGTCACTACAATTCATTCCTTCCCTCATCTCATTCAAGGTTGTCTCAAGACCTCTTCTGCATCTTTTTGATCATTTTTCCCTCCGCAACCCCGCTTGCTGCCACCCCCCAGTTAGCAGTGTAAAGCACTTTGGGATGTCCTCCCGATATGAAAGGCACTACCATATTTAAATGTAAATTTGTATTGTAATTTGTACTGTAAATTAATTTTAACTGACTCGTACCCCCTATTACAGCTGAACACATTTTTGTCTCATGGGTCACTGACAAAAAGAACAAATGGTAAAAATATAATGATACATTACCAGAGCCTGATCATAATTCTTGAGTGCCTGCAATGCTTGAGCCCTTCTATACAACGCTTTAGTGTTTGACGGATCAATTTCAAAAGCCTGTTAGAGAAATTAATATTAGGCATGAGATTTATTTCTACCAGAAAGCATACTGCTCATCCATATTAACATATCATCAGGCATTCCCATTTATGGGAATCAAATGCAAGGATTATTAAATTACATCAACTGGGCAATGCAGTTGTGTCAGTAGAGACAAAGTCAAAGATACAAGATGTACCCTCACATTAAAGCTGAACGCATCACTCATAGTACATCTCAAATATAAAACTATAGAAATTTACAGTACAGAGAAAGGCCATTCGGGCCATCATGTTTGTGCTGGCTCTTTTGAGAATTCAATCCATTCAATCCCATTTACCTGCCTTTTCCTCATAACCCTGCAAATTACTCAATTTTAGATATCTATCTGGTTCCCTCTTGAACGACAATGTCGATTCTGCCTCAACCACCACACCCAGCAGTGCATTCCATATCCTAACGAAGCTCCTCTGTGTGTAAAAAAAATCTTCCTAAGTCCATTTCACTCCTTTGGTAATTATCTTAAATTACCCTTCATCACTAAACCACTGAGCAGTGGAAATAATTTCTTCCCATCAACAATCAGTCTACAGAGTCCCGGCTTCAGCTTGAGTTGTCTCCAGGCAGTTGATACAACAATTTGATATAAAGAAATTCTTCACCTGAAATGCGGGTGACTTTACGCTTTTTAGAAAGATGATGCGGTAGTTTAAAAAACAACTCATGATGTTGGAAAATATTGCTAATGATTAAAAAAAGTTTCAGGAAATAAAAAACATGTCCATGAATGTTTTGCGTTTCATAAGCTTCAAAGATAGCATTTTTTTTCCTTCTAAAAAACACATCAAGTATTAATGCTACAGAAATACCAATACTGGTGAGGCTTTAACCAGAAAACACTCCTAAACGCCTATTTTCTAAAAACAAAAATTTCTAAAATTAACAAGGCAATACGACATTTGTCTAGATTGTCAACCTTCAAGATGTACCATAAGTGATTTAACTTAGCAATGTAACAAGTCTAATTTGTGTACTGTTAAAAGTTTTGCAATTTAATGAAAGACCTGGCACTGACCGTATCACAATTCTCAATAGCTCCAGTCCAGTCACACAGTTTCAGCTGGCAGGCTGCTTGGTTCAGATTGCAACTCACTGCAAGATCTTCCAACTTTTTATATGAGGAATTTTCTTCATCATCCTTTTCAATTCCAAAATTACTCACATATCTTCAGGAGTTCAGAGGAGGAGAGAAAAATAAGTTATTTCAATCATCTACGGCCGGTTTGTAGGGCAGTTCTGAAGTAACAAGCTTAGGTTCAGAACAGTTACAGTGGTTATGATCAGTGGGTCACCATCATGACTTAACTGTTCCACAATAAAGTTTAAAAATTAGTAAAGTACACTTGAATATTCAAGACCATAATATCCAAGCAACCATTTCAAAATGGTTCACATTTTTTTCAATACTCCACTCTCACCTTGCTCTCTGCCCGAACCATTATTTTGTTGTTCTTTACTTGCAAGTAGCAAACAGTACAACACCCGTAAAATTCCCTTCCCAAATGTACAAATGCTTCAACCTGACAACCCAGGCTAAAGTATTTCTTGAAGAGTGTAAAGGAACATGGCATTGACTTGACTCTACAGCCCCTTCTACTAATTTTATGGTAGCGTTTTATCTTTCTAATCCCTTTCATCCCTATCCTTCATCATTCAATTTATCTATTTCCCAAGGACCTCTCTATCAAGCTCTTAACTTTGTAAAGCAACACATGTCAAAATAAAGGAAGCTTTGTTGGTATGGAGATGCATCATCTTATCATTCTAGTACACTGGGTCTAAAGCAAGAATATAAGCACCTTAAAGCCTTGGCGTACTTCGTGAGGGCCATATTCCAGTCTTGGCATTTAAATAAGTTGTTACCAATATTCTTCAAGTCTTCTGCAATAGCTATAATTTTATCAACCTGTTCACAATGAAAATCAAAAATAATGCTTCATTAGTTTGCATAAGTTCATTAGCATAACCAGTTTATGTTGTAGCCAAAACAAAGGAGAAAGCCACATAACCAACTCTGATTTTATATATCAAATGTTTACAGATTTTACTGACTTCTTTTTCAGCTACTTTCCACATCCAGGCTCCGTTAACCATTAGCCTGACACATATAGATTTCTACTCTGCACTCAAAATGGATTTTCAGGCAGCTAAACATCAGACAGGCTCGCTGAATGGGCAAACTGGAGTAACTTAAGTAACAAATCTGAAATGAAGCATCACTTACTTCAAACCTACGCCTACAGATGGGGGTGGAGGAGAGAAGGAGAGAAAATAAATAATCTCTTTACTATTTTATTACAAAGACAGTGAAGGGCAAGAGAAAATGAAAACATTCAAATCCCCCAGTTGCTCCTGCTATTTTATTGCAGCTGAAAACAAAAGTGTCATCATCCTCTCAAACTCTCCTCAGATAAAGGCACAATCCCAATGGGGGTAGAGACAAGGTCATGTTGATTCCCTTTTGCATTTCCAAATTAAAACTTAATTACCTTAACTGAGGCAATCATGTTTAATCAAACAGTATGATCAAGTGAGAGGGGATCATTGCCAACCAATGTATTCTGCCCATTTAGATTTTTGTTATAATACTCTATCTGCTTTTATAAGAAAAAAAATCTGGAGAAAAATTCTCTACTGATACAAAACTCTAAGGTCTGCACAATTTCATTGAAATGCAACCCTTAAACAGATTTTTCAGCTGGTCTGTGACACATTTTACATATTTATATTTTAAAAGGACACGGGTTCAGTCTCTAATCCATGCTCTGGTAACGAACTCAGCCAGGGCAGCAATAGGAACACACAATGAACTCCCTCTTGATTCGAGAGGGAGAAAAATAAACTTAGCTTGGACTCTAGTGCACATATATAGAGGAGAGATCAGGATTGGTTAAGGTTGTGGAAATCTCATGATCAATCAGGTGTGTGGCAATGGTTATCAAGATTGACACATGAAGAATGGTCACTGGGTGAGGTCTTGAAACCCAATACCTATGTAACATTCCCCACAGTGTGAGGCTGTGCCTTCAAGAAAAAGACAACTGGAAAAAAAATCTTTAACTGAAGAGCACAGGGAAAGACTAGTGGAGTGGGATTAGAACATAAGAATTAGGAGCAGGAGTAGGCCATTCGGCCCCTCGAGCCTGTCCCGCCATTCAATAAGATCATCGCTGATCTATTCTAACTCCACCTACCCACCTTATCCCCATATCCCTTAATCCCTTTATCCACAAGAAATCTATCGATCTCAGTTATGAGCATCTACAGCCCTTTGGGGTAGAGAATTCCATAAATTCACTACCCTCTGAGTGCAGAAATTCTTCCTCAACTCAGTGCGAAAGGGCTTACCCCTAATTTTAAGACTGTGATCCCTGGTTATAGTTTCTCCAAACAGGGGAAAAAGTCTCCCACTATCTATTAAACCTTAATAATCTTATAGGTTTCTATAAGATCACCTCTCATTCTTCTATATTCTAAAGAATATAGGCCTAAATTGCTCATCCGATCCTCATAACTCATCCCTGGTACCAACCTACCACCCTCCAAGGTTTCTTAAATAAGACCAAACTTACAAAAAACAATACTCTGGGTGCCGTCTAACCAGGGCCCTGTATAGTTGCAGCAAGACTTCCCTACTCTTATATCTTTTTGTAACAAATGCCAACATACCGTTAGCCTTCCTAATTGGTTGCTGTACCTGCAAACTAACATTTTGTGACTGGTGTACAAGGACATCCAAGTCCCTCTGAACACTAACACTATCGAGTCTCTCCCCTTCTAAAAAATAATCTGCTCAACTGTTTTTGCCACCTTGGTGGATGACCTCACACTTTCCCACATTAGACTTCATCTCCCACCTATTTGCCCACTCACCTAGCCTACCTATATCTCGTTGCATTTTTTTTTGTGTCATCCTCGATGTTTACTCTCCCTCCTAGTTTAGTGTCATCCGCGAATTTGGGTTAGAATTAAGTTCGATGTCCTCATCTAGATCGTTGATGTAGATGGTAAATAGTTGAGGCCCAAGCACTGATCCTTGTGGCACTCCACTAGTCACATCCCGCCAATCTGAGAAGGACCCGTTTATCCCTACTCTTTGTTTTCTTCCCTTTAGCCATTCTTCAATCCATGCTAATATATTCCCCTTAATTCCATGGGCTCTAATCTTGTGAATCAACCCTTTATGCGGCACCTTATCAAATGCCTTTTGGAAATCTAAATACACTACATCCACCGATTCCCCCCCTATCTAATCTACTTGATATGTCCTCAAAAAAATCTATAAGATTTGTTAAGCATGACTTCCCTTTTGTAAAGCCATGTTGACTCTGTCTAATCATATTGTGATCCTCTAAGTATCCCATTACGATATCCTTAATTAAGGATTTTAGAATTTTCCCTACCACCGATGTCAAGACTAACTTGTCTATGGTTCCCCATCTTTTCTCTCCCACCCTTCTAAATAGTGACATTTGCGATCTTCCAATCAATGGGAACTATTCCAGAATCCATCTGCACAAAACAAGGTCTAGGATGGCCTGTCCCCTAGTTGGTTCCTCAGCATACTGCTCCAGAAAGCTATCTCTCATACATTCTATAAATTCCTCCTCTACCCTACTTTTGCCGATTCGGTTTTCCCAATCTATGTGAAGATTGAAATCACCCACTATTACTGTATTACCTTTGCTACATGCTCATCTAATTTCCTGATTAATACCCTGAGCTATGCTGTGATCACTTTTTGAAGGTCTATAAACTACTCCCACTAATGTTTTCTGCCCCTTATTATTTCGTAATTCTAGCCGTGCAGTCTCTACATCCTGGTTATCCGATTTGAAATCTTTCCTCTACTGTTTTTATTCTATCCTTTATTAACAAGGCTACCCCACCACCTCATTTTCCACATTGTCTATCCTTCCTATAAACTGAAAACCCTGGAATATTTAACTCCCACCCTAGATCTCCCTGTAACCATGTCTCAGTAATGGCTACTAGATCATACCTGTTTGTATCTATCTGTGCCTTTAATTCATCTATCTTATTCCGAATGCTTCGTGCATTCAGATACAGCAATTTTATTTTCTTACCATTTCCCTTACTCTCTGATGCCCTATCTTCTTTACTGAGCTTCTTACCCCACCTTGACCTATTCTGTTTACCTCTCTCGCTATTCTGTTCTGCCATCTTTAGTTTTCTCAATACTGCTGGCTTGCGATTATTTCTAATTCCCGCCCTCTTTCTAGTTTAAAGCTTTATTTACCTCCCTATGTATTCGGTTTGCTAGGACATTTGTCCCAGCCCGATTTAAGTGGAGCCCATCTTTTTGAAATAGTCCCCTTTTTCCCCCCACTTCTGGTGCCAGTGGCCCATAAAATGAAACCCCTGCGTTCCGCACCACTCCCTCAGCCATGCATTCAACTCTCGAGTTTGCTTATTCCTGTACCAATTTGCACATGTCAAAGGCAGCAATCCTGATATCACTACCTTTGATGTTCTTTGTTTTAATTTAGTTCCCAGCTCCTTAAACTCCCTCCTCAAATCATCACAACTAACCCTACCTATGTCATTGGTATCTATGTGAAGTACCACCAATGGATCCTTGCCCTCATGTTTCGGATTCTCCTCCAGCCCCGCCCAGACGTCCTTCACCCCGGCCCCAGGAAGGCAACAGAGTCTTCGGGTCTCCAAGTTGGAGCTGCAGATAAGTGTATCTGTCCGCCTGATAGTCTTGTCCCCAATCACTACAACTTTATGTTTGTTTCTCCTAATATTGGAATCACGTGTTCTTTCCTCTTCACAAGCTTCCTTGTCCACACAGGTTGCAAGGATCTCGTACCTGTTGACCAAGGTTAAAGCCTGAGGCTTCACTACCACTTTCTTTGATGTTCCCTTAACCTCCTGCCTGTCAGACACCCTATCCTGTCCTTGACTGATACTATCATCTATGCATTCCCTGAGCCTCAGGGGAGTGACTGGCTCCAGGATGAAATTATCCAGGAAGCACTCACTGTCCTGATGCTGCGCAATGTCTGCACCACGGATTCCAGCTCAGACACTCTGAGCTGGAGCTGCCTCAGTTGCAGACATTTGCTGTAGATGTGGTCGCCCGGGCTCAGACTGCCCTCCAACAACTCCCACGTGTTGCAGTCCTCACACAATACCTGTCACGCCATTGTCACCTCTCCCACCCCCCACTGTGAATAAAAGTTTTATTTAATTATTATTTTTTTATAAGTTAAAATCTTAATCTTTTTTCAATTTTTTTAGTGTTGTTAATTAGTAGTTAGTGTTAGTTTACTGTTAGTCAGTAGTTCGTGTTCGCAGTTAGTTTTTGATTGTGACATTGATCTGATGTCACTTTTTAATTTTCTCGCTGTTTTTTTATCCGAGCCTCTCCTCGCTGTGGCTTTTATCCCCACTGTTAGATCTCGGCTCAGCCCCTCGCTCTCGTGCCTCTGCTCCTTGGAGGAGTTAGCTCCAGCAATGGGCTGAAAGGCCTCCTCCTGTGCTGTAATTTGTAGGATTGAAAAATGTAAAACCCTTTTCTTAGTGCCTCAGTTCAAAGCCTGCTCCTTGAACACTGGTAAATCACAGGTCTAGTGGGTTAAACTTAAACACGATTAGGTTTTTGACCTGAAAGAGAATAATTAAACTCCACTGCTCGTGTTTTAAGACGATCCTTAGGAAATTTTTAAATTGAAGTGAATTTAAACAGATACATGAATTAAGAATCCAAAAAGCTTACCACTGAAGCAAAATAAAAAAAATCAAGCAGTTTTCATTTTCATCCCCAACACCACTCAAAACTCCTCTCAAATCACATCCTTTGTGCTTTCTATTGAACAGCCCTCAACTGTCTTGTGCAGGTGCTTAACAATTTGAAAATCCACACCCATGTAATATTTTCTTACATACTACATACATATATACAAAGAAAGAAAAAAGGCAGAGGGAATCACAAATTACTTACATCGTCCACCTGATCATCAGCATCCTCTGGGAAATCTGGGTAAGCATCCCCTGAACCATCATTAGGAGCTAAACCCCAGTCATCACCTTCTATCTGTCCACAATCTTCTATAGCACACAGCTGTGAAAAAGTAGCAAACAAAACGCTTGTATTTAGTGCATCATCTATTCAAGCAGGATAGTTAATAGTTTCCTGACACCTCAGCACGTTTAGCCAATGAGTAGTTGAGTTACACCAATCAGAAAGTCCTCAGGCTCACTTTGCGAGGTGGAGATTATGTACACCATAGCAACTCCCTGAGCTCAACCAACAACCTCAGCTCATTAATAAATTCACTATTGCCAAACTGACCACATTAAACCTGAACTGGTTTAAAAGGTAATAAATTAACTCCTGAACCTAAACGTCACATATCTTAAAAATGCAGTTTAATCTAGAACTAATTATTCTTCACCTCTTTACTGTGCTTTTTGGTGCATGTTGTTTTTCTTACCTTTACAGGCTTCTCGTCTTTCACCTCTATATTTTCCAGCATCTTTACCACTCTCATTCCTTTCAGCACTCGACCAAAGACCACATGTTTGTTGTCCAGATGAGGCGTGGGGACGGTTGTGATGAAGAACTGAGAACCATTGGTGTTTGGGCCTGCATTAGCCATGCTGAGCAGCCCCTCACAATCATGCTGCAAGGGGCAAGAGCAGGGAATAAACATCTAGATATGAACAACCTGCTGACATTCATTTCAAAAACATGTAGCACTATTAGAACACTTTATAAAATATTCAGGTACTCTAAATTTTCTCTAGATCACACACAAGACTTTCCATAACCAGAGTGATTAAAGGAAAGTTTTTTTAAAAAAATGGAACAGCTATAACTGAGAAGATACCCTTTAATTTGATGTCAAAGAAGCTCAATTTAACTCAATATCCATTACCATCTAGTATCAGTGATCCAGCTAACAATTATTCAGGCTCTCCTCAACTCATTCACTTTACCTTATAATGAAAACTTTCATCTTCAAATTTCTCTCCATAAATGCTTTCTCCTCCAGTTCCATTCTGATTGGAAAAGTCTCCTCCCTGGATCATGAACTTCTTTATAACTAAAAATAAAATTTGTTTAATGTATTGTCATTTTAAATTAGACAACAAACTCGTGACTGCAGAATCAAGTGATGCACTTACTCCTATGGAAAGGACAGCCTTTGAAGTGGAGTGGCTTTCCAGTTGTGGGTCCAATTCCTTTCTCTCCAGTGCATAATGCACGGAAGTTCTCAGCCGTTTTAGGGCAGACATCAGCAAACAGCTCCAGCACTAAGCGTCCAACTAAAAGAGACAAACCAATGGTTTGCACATTAAAAAGCAAATCAAATCAGTACAGTACCCGTCCAGCTCAGAGCACCCTACCTTCTAGGATCTATCTCACATGTTTGAGAACATCTACAAATCTTACTGATGATCCAGACAAGCTGATCAACAATGTCGTGGATTACTCAGACCTGTTCAGCTTGGCATTTCGCCATGGAGTCACCAAACACTGGGCAACACTATTTACCTTCTTTCCCACTGCCTCCCCCCCGATTTCATTAACTGAGCGCAGCATGAGATGGCATTAACAAGGGCTTTTATAGAATGAAGTAGATTTTAACCAATTGATTAACCAAAATCCAACGGAGACATCCAATCTCTCAATTGACAAAGTGAGTACAGCAAAGCTCTTCTTATGCTGTGAAAAGAAGGAATGGAGGCTCCAAGTTGCATGTCTCCCAGACACATCTACAGAAAAGTTGCCACAGGTTTGTGGCAACCAAGCGTTTATAGTGATGTCGTTTTTCTGATCCTGCGAATGTTGGCTTTTCCTATCATTGTGAAGCAGAATTCACCAAGTGATGGATTGTTCACCCACAAATATGGAATGTGAGCTGGACTTAGTCAGCTTGTGAGACAGGTTTTACCTGACTGATGATGTGTTGTTGCAATGGTAATCCTGCTCAGTTTCATTTTCAGACACCAACAGTCCACGCCCCTCCCCCCCTCCCTCCCTCCCCCCTGTGTGTAATCGTTGCTCATAGAAGGGGTTCGATTCTCCTGGTTTTTGAATCTCGCCTTTTTTAATAATTATTTCGCGTCCAAAAAAAATAAGTTTCTTTGTATTTGCTGGGCCTGGTCTGGGCCTGGCCTGGTCTGGGCCTGGCCTGGTCTGGGCCTGGTCTGGGCCTGGTCTGGTCTGGGGGGGGGGGGCGGTTGCATGGTAACCAGAAGAACATGGAGGACACCAGCAAAGGGGGAGGTGGGGGGGTATGTGCTGCCCTCTAGCTTCCTCCATGGTGTTCTGCAGCTTCACACACAATGAAGGGGAGGCAAGTGAGGGAGGGGGTGGGGGGGGGGGGAGGATGGGAAGGGAGGGAGGATGGGGAGGGGAGGATGGGAAGGCGGGAAGGGAGGAAAGGATGGAGGGGATTGAGGGATGGGAAGGGAGGAAAGGATGGGGGGAGGATGGGAAGGAGGGAAGGGAAGAAAGGATGGGGGGGAGGATGGGAAGGAGGAAGGGAGGAAAGGATGGAGGGGATTGAAGGATGGGAGGGATGGGAAGGGAGGAAAGGATGGGGGAGGATGGGAAGGAGGAGGAAGGAAGAAAGGATGGGGGGGGAGGATGGGAAGGAGGGAAGGGAAGAAAGGATGGGGGGGGAGGATGGGAAGGAGGGAAGGGAGGAAAGGATGGAGGGGATTGAAGGGTGGGAGGGGAGGAAAGGATGGGAAGGGAGGAAAGGATGGGAAGGGAGGAAAGGATGTGGGGGAGGATGGGAAGAGGGAAGGGAGGAAAGGATGGAGGGGATTGAAGGAGGGAAGGGAGGAAAGAATGGGAGGGAGGGATGGGAAGGGGGAGGATGGGAAGGATGGGAGGGAGGCATTAGAGATAAGAGGGCAGAGAAGTAGGATTGGTGGAGGTTCATGTTGCTGCATAAACACTTTCACTTTATTACTAGGGCCGAATGACCTGTTGTTTCGTTGGTGTAGATTCTGTATAAATCTGTGCAATTTTGATGATGGAATCTCAAAAGATTTCATATTTCTCAAAACGTGCTCCAATCCCATCACCCGAATTTTATTGTATTGGAATCTAACGTGGTCTGATTTCTCATGATCAGCCGGATAAAAAGCACAACATATTAAAATGCTGTCTGTCCTATTATTCCAACTTGAGTTATCATTGTTCTACATAAATAGAGGGAGATTTCTCTTGACGTATACACAGAGATGCCTTAATTATAGATTTGTTTTAAATTCTCGTCTGTAATGGTACCTGTCTGTTGTAGAAATACATTTAAATGTAATCACATTGGGAAAAAAAAATCTTGCATGTGTCGAATTATTGATGTATCTCACTACACTTAAGAGTTTAATTAGTTAAATGTCTATCTCTGATGGCTGCATTGGCTAAATGGTACTGTGCTAAGTATGCAGACCAAGATGGCAGGTTTAGTCCCTGGTTATCTCAGCTATGGCAGCACTTACAATGCTACAATTAGTCTCATGATCTGAGCTAGTGTACAGGGGGAAAATAATGTACAGGTCTTCACTTCGGATTATGTGCCAATGAGGCGTGGGGACGGTTGTGATGAAGAACTGAGAACCATTGGTGTTTGGGCCTGCATTAGCCATGCTGAGCAGCCCCTCACAATCATGCTGCAAGGGGCAAGAGCAGGGAATAAACATCTAGATATGAACAACCTGCTGACATTCATTTCAAAAACATGTAGCCTATTAGAACACTTTATAAAATATTCAGGTACTCTAAATTTTCTCTAGATCACACACAAGACTTTCCATAACCAGAGTGATTAAAGGAAAGTTTTTTTAAAAAAATGGAACAGCTATAACTGAGAAGATACCCTTTAATTTGATGTCAAAGAAGCTCAATTTAACTCAATATCCATTACCATCTAGTATCAGTGATCCAGCTAACAATTATTCAGGCTCTCCTCAACTCATTCACTTTACCTTATAATGAAAACTTTCATCTTCAAATTTCTCTCCATAAATGCTTTCTCCTCCAGTTCCATTCTGATTGGAAAAGTCTCCTCCCTGGATCATGAACTTCTTTATAACTAAAAATAAAATTTGTTTAATGTATTGTCATTTTAAATTAGACAACAAACTCGTGACTGCAGAATCAAGTGATGCACTTACTCCTATGGAAAGGACAGCCTTTGAAGTGGAGTGGCTTTCCAGTTGTGGGTCCAATTCCTTTCTCTCCAGTGCATAATGCACGGAAGTTCTCAGCCGTTTTAGGGCAGACATCAGCAAACAGCTCCAGCACTAAGCGTCCAACTAAAAGAGACAAACCAATGTTTTGCACATTAAAAAGCAAATCAAATCAGCACAGTGCCCGTCCAGCTCAGAGCACCCTACCTTCTAGGATCTATCTCACATGTTTGAGAACATCTACAAATCTTACTGATGATCCAGACAAGCTGATCAACAATGTCGTGGATTACTCAGACCTGTTCAGCTTGGCATTTCGCCATGGAGTCACCAAACACTGGGCAACACTATTTACCTTCTTTCCCACTGCCTCCCCCCCACCCCCCCGATTTCATTAACTGAGCGCAGCATGAGATGGCATTAACAAGGGCTTTTATAGAATGAAGTAGATTTTAACCAATTGATTAACCAAAATCCAACGGAGACATCCAATCTCTCAATTGACAAAGTGAGTACAGCAAAGCTCTTCTTATGCTGTGAAAAGAAGGAATGGAGGCTCCAAGTTGCATGTCTCCCAGACACATCTACAGAAAAGTTGCCACAGTTTGTGGCAACCAAGCGTTATAGTGATGTCGTTTTTCTGATCCTGCGAATGTTGGCTTTTCCTATCATTGTGAAGCAGAATTCACCAAGTGATGGATTGTTCACCCACAAATATGGAATGTGAGCTGGACTTAGTCAGCTTGTGAGACAGGTTTTACCTGACTGATGATGTGTTGTTGCAATGGTAATCCTGCTCAGTTTCATTTTCAGACACCAACAGTCCAC